AAAGGAAGAGGAAGATTGCATTGTTAGCACCTGACTGCAGGCTACCCTGATTCCCCGTTACATGCAGACCACTTCAGAATTACAGGCACCTGCAGTGGGATAGTCAATGCCCTGGCTGAGATTTAGTATAAGGCCACGTCAAAGGGCAAACCCTAAGGAAAAGCATATATTCAGGGGCCAATTGTCCGCGGTCAAAAAGGACAGGTGTGTATACGGGGAGGACGTAGGGCATAGCCGAAGGGGGCTTATGATTGCCTTCCAACCCGTACTTACACCAAGCCAGGGCCTGCATGCATAAGTATACTATTTTAGTTTGTCTCTGGTATTATATCTAGACAAAAAGTTAGTTAGATTGTTTGTATGGTTCAGTAAGTGAAAATGTTTATCGGCTTATGAGGCCGTATATACAAACTCGCGGTTAGAGGCCGGGGTGGTTATCGTGATATAATTAATTATCGCTAAATCACCGGAATCTGATGTAGCCCAGTGCGGAACGCACATAACTTGAACCCTTGGTCCCCAACACCTTATTCAGATCCTTATACGACGGATAAGGTTACTCGAATCAAGGAGACGGGGTTGGAAACGAGGTTGACGCTTCCACTCTTCCCCATAATTCCCAGAGACTCCGCTGCCGTTGGTTTGCGCAGGGGATGCAGAGACTTTTTATAAGCCGACTTCTTTTTTTTTTTTTTTTTTTTCTTCTCAAAGGAGCAATGGAGGAGCGGAGGAGAAGGGACCAGACACCGTGAGTTCTTCCTTCCACGGGGGGTTGTGGTCAATATTTCATTCGCTGTAACATCTCCATTAAAGAAACAACCCAACAAATGGACTGGAGTGACCATGCAAGCAGGACCAGGGGAATAAGAATTGCAAATTATTCCAGCGTTTCCCTGCATACTCCACACTCCCTGTTCCCGAATTCAATAACTAATGCGTTAGCCGGGTAAGCAAGGAGGCTTGCATTAGGCGAACGGCAATACACAACGCGAGCCCTGAGCCAGTCGTGATTGGCCTTGGGAATGGAGCACCATGACCAAAGGGGCATTCGGCCTTTCTAAGGAAAAGCAAAAAACCTAGTTATTGGGAGGGCAGTTCGATTGCAACGGCTATGATTTGGTTCCCGGCTACCGCAAAATGCGCGAAAATGTACCCACGCTGCAGGCTGATCCACACAGCTTTAAATACACCAGCCTGTTCCTTGGAGTCGGCGGGAGAGCAGAAGGAAGTAGGTACCCGGACGGCCGTGTTGGCCCAGAAGACCGGAAAGGAATAGAGGCACGCATGTCACTGCATCCTGAAGAATACGACGGGCGCTAACTAGTCCAGCTTGATAGCTGAAGGGGTGGTATTGTACGCCAGGGTTATCATGGGATGCAGAGTTCGGATAATGGACAGCGCCGGAACGTGCTTATTGGGCCCCTTTTTTTTCGAGCTGAAAATATTTACCAGATGGTCACTCCCATGTTGGCGGAATGGGCGGAATCACCTAGAAAGTGTCACCAATGACTCGAAAAAAACCGAAGGAGCATGGTAATTGTCGAACAAAAGGGCTTGATTCTGTCTCACAACGGGGGTCTCAGAGCCAACCAGCTACCGTCATGCGTTTTCCACATCAGCAACGATGTTGTCTGAATAGCCGGCGCAATAATAACATCGATATCAATATTTAACGGCTGAGGAGTTCGAGGCGGATGGCACACGCATACACGCACACACATACGGTATCACTTAAGAAAAGCTGTCACACCCTATCAACCCAACCCAGCTCATATCAACTGCGCTGCAGAATTAACAACCACGCGGGGATGATTGCTGTGGACGATGCGCTGGGAGGAAAGCCGCCCAAGGTCGGCTCCATATTTCGTCATAAAGTTCTCATGTGAACGGCAGCCTTGTCGAGAGACATCCAGTCTGTTGCTCACACAGTATGTAGGTTGCTGATATCCTTGCCCAAGCAAAGCCCTATTCTCCCACTTCCTACGGTGGAGGAGCCAATCCATTCCATGTTTTCTAGGGGGGACGTTCCGATGGAGCGGTTACCGATCAGCATGGCCGCACTGCAAAGTCGACATTTGAGGTATATTTTGTCGATATATAGTCTTATGGGGACAGGGGATCCGAAATTTGTCCGAACCTTCCAGGCCTTCTGTGTGGTTGGAAACCGGGGTCAACCTAGTCGCACATGATAAATAGGATATCATATTGCTTTTCCGTCGTATGCATCGAGTTATGTACGATAAACTTACTGCATTGTGACGTTGACATATATCTGTCGAATTCGCGTTCAACCACCCCCCTTTCTCCCTTTAATTGAAGGTTGTAAAAATAAAAAATAAAATCTAATCAGGGCTGCAGAGAACGTAGTAAGATGCATAATGTTTGCTATCAGAGGACCAAGCTCGATGCTTCAGAGGCGCTGGGGGTTGGAGATATAAAAAACCGCAGGGTCGCCGTGGATTTCCAGCTCCAAGCATTTCCACACTCGACCTCTCTTACCACTTTCTTGTTCGTCTTTATTCATTCCTTTTCTAGCAAGCATAGCTCTTTGTTATTCCGAGAGTACACCTAGCATTCAATTGAAGGGATCTGATGCCTGGTATACCTAAAAGAGGATTTGATCTCACCTTGATCGATTATTGATTTACCCAAGAGGGAAAAAGAAGAAGAAAAGATGTCAACTCCTGTTGGGCCACGAGCGTCAAAGGAGGATTTCATGCGCGCACTCGGTCTAGATGCAAACAATCCTCAGCATGAGCCATATTACCGTGCCATGAGGGTGAGTGACCCAGCAATGTGGTAGAAGGAATCCAACCTACGAATTACAAGCTCCAGTGTTCCAGTGGCTATCATGTGAGAAAAGGAGGAATGCGGTGGAAGAAGGATATGCAACGGAATGTGCAAATGCTGATAGCTTACCTTATCAGGATGAAGCAATTGTGGTGTACAACTATATGCACCGAAGCAACTCGGACTTGCTTGATAATTATCGAGCTGACCCGAACATGCGGCCACCGTACTGTTGGCACTACATCCGCCCTGAACGTCAGCGGTGGGGCGTGATGGAGATATGGAGAAATTCAGGACCCGTGACACGACCCCTATTTGATCGTGGTGCTACCCACGGGGAGTACGGCCCTAATTGGGTTACTGGATGGTTGTTGTACAGTGTATTCCGGTCCCGGGATATACGCAACAATCGTCATCGTAACCAGAACAAGAAAGACCCAGGTGGCGGCAGTGGTAACGGTGGTAGTAGCAGCAGTAGTGGTGGTAGCTCGGGTAAAGTCGACACTTTTCATTCTCTCCATCCCCGCTTAAACAAACCTAGACACACATCTTTCAATGGTTGAGAAGCGAAGAGTACTAACAGTTTATTTCTCTGATGGGTTCGACTTCGGCTCAAAGGCTCAAAAAGTCCATCCTCAAGTTCAGAAACACAAACAAAGTCGACCTATTATGATCCTATCAGACACTAAATGTTGACCGGTTTTCTCGTCGTTGCTATATCAGCCATGTCTAGCGGGCCGGGCGGCTAATATTGCGGGGCAAATTCCTTCATAGATTGGAAAGTTCTATTCTCCTTTCGCACACATACACATTCGCTTCGTATCTTTTCGTTGCATGCGCACCACTTATTCGATTCTGCTTAATTCTTCGTTTTGGCGATTTCATGGCATGAGCCAATTGGCCAACAATTCCCGTCCTTCTTCGTTGAGTTTCCTTTTTCTGTTTTCCTTTTTTTATCTGCCGCAAAAATTTTCTCTCCATTAACTTGCTTTCGCCAAATTCGGTTTATGGATGATTGTTACCTGCCCTTCCGTTCTGCACAACGTTAATACGGGGCTAACGAGGAAGTTGGGAAAAAAAGAAAGAAAGAAAGAAAAAAAAAAAAACAAAAAAAAAATATAAGAGAGAGAGAAAGAGAGAGAGAGAGAGAGCTAGCGTGCAAATCCATGACCCGAATACCCAGATCATGGCTAGCTGAGAGGGGTGTGGTTGCACAGTCTCTCAACCACCAATGAAATTCAAGTTCACTCTCCCCAGAAATCAGTTTCTCCTTTGGAGTTAGACGCAGGGATCCTCGCGGCTGATATTGACATTGACATGTTGTGGGATGGGCTGGAGGACCTGCTTTACGAAGAGCAGCGCTAGGGGGCGCAGGGTTCAGGGTATCTGCTGGAGGGGGGTGTTCATCATTTCGATGTGTCAACGTAACCATGGTATCATAACTGAGTTTGAAGGAATAAACAGGACACTCCTACGTATACGGGCAACCACGTCAGTTTCTGTTCTTCTTGTATGCTCTTCTTCTTTTCTTTTCCCTTGCTATCGTTGTTGTTGACGTCGTCGTCGTCTTTACCGACTTTGTGGACGGATTTGGCAAACGGAATACAGTGTATTAGTAATCACCAAAATCATATCACGTGATATGCGGCTCAAGATGACATTATGTAATGAATGCACCCCCTGAAACCGGGGAAGTTCGGTGCGCTTCAACATCTTCCAATGACATTGAGATTCAAAGGAGTGTCGGTAATACCAGTCCTAGGGGCTTTTTCTACAGTCTGACTATTTTTGTTTGCTCACTGTAATATACGTCATCTACTTGATGAAATTGAAGAACCATCAACTCCTCCTACCATAGTTTTAAAGCATCTAGATGATGATCTATTGAGCCCCTCTGATACCCAGCGCCTCACTCAGCGAGAAATCAAATATGTTACCAAGAAGGTCCTTAAAGCATCTCTGCATTTCATGAGGAAGACTTTGTACACACAAGTAAATTGGATAAATTCCCTACTCTATCTGTACTTTGCTGATATTCCGAGATGAAAATATTAAGCCTAGCAACGTGTTGGTGAATTACAAGCAGATGGACAGCGAAGGCAGCCGGTTTACATATGTCCAGTTGGCTGATTTCGGAAGTACTATTCACAAAGACTCTAGCGATGCAAGAAATGAAGATCCCATTGGGACACCAATTTTTGGAAGTCTAGAAGCTCATCTACGATGAGATAGATCTGGTCTTTCGGGATACTGGTGGGCCCAAATACTACATCAACCATTTAAATGGCAAACTTCTTCCCAGATTATTAGCCTTCTATACATTCAAACCCGGCGTCCCTGTCGGCCATGACGAGTATGAACCCAATATACTCGCTAAACATTACAGATGCTTTGGCCCGTTCCCAGTTTTCCATGAAGAGATCGCTGCTGAACCAAGGCTAGCTATTCTGATGTGGATTATGAATATACCCCTATCTGACTACTCTGCGAGGGATCTGCCAGGAGGATAAGCAGTTTGTTCTGAGAATGATGAAGCTTGATCCACGAGATAGGCCGACAGCGCATCAACTCTTGGGAGATGAATGGTTCCACCAATCTTGAGGGAGAAAGAGGCAATTTTATATATACTGTTCTATAAATTCCTCCTAGGGTCTATTTTAAGGTATATTTCGCTACCTTACTTATAGATTTGTGCCATCCCTTGCCCTTACCTGCTATTGTGGCTGCAAGGCGGTTTGGCTGATATTACCCGATGGAAGGACAAAAGGGAACAACGAGCCAAACCTTCCAACCACCTAGCACAGAAAGGCAGAAATGGCACCGAATAAGAAGAAGCCAACGCGGAACAGAAGGAGTGGAGGGGGTGGGAGGGGAGAGACAACCCTCATCCTTCAACTTCAGGCCAACATGTGCTGGGGTAGAGTTCGTTATTTTCCGCCCGGCGGTTACACATCACATGGTAGGGAAGGGAAAGATTGTCGGAAGGGATGAATTTTTCCCGAGTCAGATCTGTGCCGGGCCCAAGATGCATTGGCGAGTTAACTTACGCTCGTCGGCATGCGTTGTTTGTTGACCTGGTTTGGTTATTAATCAGGGAAATATATATTGGGACGGGAAGAAATTTGTTTTTGGAATTTGCATTTTGCATAAGGTCTGCATTTCTTTCTCCCTCGAGCGTCCATTTTAAGATAGTGAGTGATGTGATCTTTTTTCCCAGAGAGTCGTCATCATTGAATCGTAAGTCATAAAGCGTAAGGTAAGATATGGAGAAGTTCCAGTTCTAAGGAAACAAGGCAAGTAAGTAAACGAGCAAGAAAAGTCAGAGTAAATAAGATAAGATGTCCACCGAAGGAAGGCAAGAAATAGAATTGAGTGAGTAGAATTATTCCAGAGATTGACTTGAAAAAAATAGAAGAACAAAGCGAAAGGGCACCTCCACGCCTGAGAGCATTGCGGCTTTTTGCTTGGAGGGGAAAACATAAGCGGAGTTCTATAGAGATGGAGACGGGGAGGGGAAAAACAGGCATGATAAGGAGTAGTCGTAAATGGTCATTCAGTCATAATTCATTTGTCGTTAATAGTTTTTTTGGGTGGTCATCACAGCTGGAAATCATCAGGGGGAATGCCGCGTATCCGGTCCGAACATCATCGATACAAGGCAAGAAGCGGTAGTAAAGGAAAGCGTAAAGGCGAAGTTTTTGCGAATTAACCAGATGTCTGCCATCAAGGTAGGCCTGTGGAGTGTGTATTGGTGTGTGTGGTTCGTTCTTAGTCGTGTAACGGTGTGAAGAAGTGTGATGGACATGCGGCATGGATGGACTCGGAAATATGTGATAAGCCCGCTGATTCGTTCATTTTCATTTTCATTTTTTCTTTTGCAACTCCCCCCGGGGGCAGAGTACAAGGATTGCAGGATGGTATGTATAGTACGCATGACGTAGTTTATATGATAGGTAGATTCGTTGGACGGTTGGAGCTGGAGCCGAGTTAGATTTCGTTTGGGCTCATGCAGGGCAGCGGGAGGCTGGATGCCACCCCCTGACGGTCCGGATGTATGGGCATAACCTTACCTCAAAGTCGATCCTCTTATCTCCATTTTCTCTCGTAGCTTTCGGGGCTGCTGCCTCCGCTCCGGCTGCCGCCGCTGCTGGTCGTGGATGTGTCGGTGTCATCTGAGTATCGTGGTCTTCGGTCCTTGCCAATGGCCACGGGTATGCCCTGGACGACGCCGCCGTGGTCATGGCCGGCAGGGTACATGCCGTCGTTGACGGAGAAGTTCCTGCAGATCAGATAAGCTCGCATGGCAGCCTTTTCGCGGGCCAGGAGTTCGGTCTGGCAGACTTCATCGGTCTGGTATTCGCGGTTATTGACCCGGACGACGCAGGTGTATCCTGCGCCGGAGCCACTGTTTACTTGTTCGTAAAGGGGCTCTGGCCAACGACGACGGCGACAAAGACCTGCAAGGAACAGAACACATGTTATTGGCTGGTCTGGTATGTTTGGTTTGGGAGGGCTGAGTTGGCAAATTGTCTTGTTTCGAGAAGAATGGAGGAAAGGAAAAGAAAAGAAAGGGGTAGACGATATTGATAGAGCAGGTTAGGTAGTCAGGTAGGTAGGTAGGGAGGTGATTTAGACGTCCGGGGAAAAGTCTATCGTGAAGCCACAGGGTGACACAGCGTTGATCAATTCCAGCATTGGGCTGGGGGCCAGGAGTATAACATAGCCGGTACAAGACACAAGGATAGACTAGGGGGGTATGTATGTTATTAGAGAAAACAAGCAGGTATCAGGCATCAAGACGAAGAGGTTATTTTTCTTTCTTTTTGCAAAAGTAACGGGTCCATTACTACAGAGAGACAATTGGACAATGGATCTGGATTCTGGAATATCCAGCCCGAGAGAAAGAAACCAAGGTGCCAAATTCTCCTGCCAAACGGCCATCACCAAATAGGGGGAAGGGAGCAGAAGCATTGGTGTCCAAGGGGGAAGAGTAGACGGCAATTGATTGGGTAGCAAGCCATGCCTGTATGATACGAACGGGGTGCGTAGGATGAATTGGGTTGGTTCAGAGCCTGTCAGGGGGAGGGATAAGGGGGGAAGAGGAGGAGGAGGAGGAGGTCAAACATACTCGCTAGATAGAGGATGTAGTACATCTCGAGACCCAATAGCCGATGTACCCCCTTGAAACGTAAAAAAACACACCACCAGAATTGGAATTAAGCTTGGGATTGGGTATCGTAGGGCAAAGCAAGGCAAACCCGTCAAGCCTCCTCAGGCAGGAATACAGCTTCAGCAAGTTAATTAGATGTTTCTTGTTTCTTCAGCCCAGCCCCAGCCCAGATGGACGGTTAGAAGCCCGACTCTCCCAGTCTCACGCACGCACAAAAATACGGCTGTTCAACCCGACCAGGAGCAAGAGTATGCTTTTTCTTTTCTTTTCTCGACGGAAGCAACGGACGGACGAAAAACAAGAGCTTCTTGTGGTGGTGGTGGTGGTGGTAGTGATAGTGATTGTGATTGATGCCCAACAGAAACAGGAGTCGGCTAGTAGTAGTACACGGGCATTTGAAAAACAAAGACGAGGCTGTTTTTTCTTTGCGGAGGAAAAAAGTCAGGTAGAAATAGCCACGGGGAACGGGACGGAGGAATTGGCAAACGAACTAAGAGAGACGCAGGAGGAGGGAAGGGAAGCGGAGGTTGTTAATAACGTTAAAGGGGGGAGGGTCAGGGAGGGCAAGGTTGTGTGCTATGTAAAGTAGTTAATGGGATAGAAGAAGGGTGAAGGGGATGTCTACGGGATACAAAAAGGACGGCGGTTTCTCTTATCTAACGGTAAAAAGCAAGAAAGAGGAGAGGAACCATTCTAGACGGGCCAGGTCAGAGGAGAGTCAATCGGGAGTATTTTAGCTAGTTCGTTACCTTGTGTATGTGTGAAGGTATGGGGGAGAGACAGCCGGCCGTGCAAAAACAAAAAGGAGAGATAAGAAAGACGCCTTGCCTTGCCTTTCCTTGTCTTGCAAAAAGAGATGATGGCGAAAGGGAGAAACGGGTGGGGCTATGATGCTGATGATGCTGATGATGCTTCTGATGATGATGATGGAGGAGAGAATATGAAATGGTTATTCGCATGTATGGAATAACCGCGAGATATCCCTGGAACAAAACAAGCTGGCCTGGCCTGACGTTGACGTGATGTTGATACCTCAATGCTCGCTCTCCAACGGCATCACCATCACCAACCGCCATTAGTTACCAGCAGCCATCTCCATGGCCAGAGAGAGAGCCTCGAGTCCTCCGTCTCCTCACATACATACTTTCCGCGATTCTTGCTTTTTCCCCCTAACTCTTCCTCCCACTTGGGTTTTTCCTCGACCGGTTGATGTGTTGGCAGGTTTCCTCGCCAGTGAAGTTGCTAAAGGGGGGGAAGATGGGCCCAGACAGGATCAAAGATCGAGAACCGGAAACCCTTCAGCATCCACACCCTGGTCTCGGGCGGACGAATCAGCGGGCGTGCAGCTGCGTCGATCGAGAGAGGGCTATGGGGGCGGTTCTCCGTTGCCAGGCCAGGGATTAGTTATTTGGCGCTGCGCTGGGCTGCGCTGTCGAAAAAGGGACAGACAGGCTTGACGCTGCTTGTCCTTGCATGAGGGTTTGTGATATGCACGTCTTGTACCTAGTTATGCAAGAGGCGATGCATTACGAGGAGATGTGGTCGTGAACATGATCATGATCGTGATCCATGGCGTGAGTGAGTATGTACATACGTGGAGGTGAGGTGAGGTGAGAACCGGTTAGTTAATTGACGCTGGCAGGCGATTAACCGAGGGCGCATCGCATGGGGGGCGACGATTGACAGTGGTGAAGGCGAAAGAGACTGCAGACCCAAGACAAGACAAGACAAGACCTGGGCTGGTGGATAAGGCCGAGTTTGAAGATGTTGAAGTTATCGACAGGGATGGGCGTCCTTATCCTGGGCCGTTGAAGGCGAGCGAGCATACTTACAGTTGGCTTGCTTGTATATGTATGTAAGGATATGTGTGTGTGTGTATGTCAAGGTCGACTCGACTCCACTGCTGAACCTGACTTGCTTGACTGCAGCTGCAATGCACGTAATAGCTAGTCTGGAGGCGGAGATGGAGATGGAGATGCGCTGGCAGATGGAGACTTTTTTTGCCTTATACTTTCTTACTGTCTACTTGGTGCCATCGAGCCGTTAGTTAGCAGGTAACTAATGGTGGTGGTTATTAATAGGGGTTGATATTCGCGCAACCATCATCCGAGGAAGCCAAGTCAAAGAAGCTAGAGAGAGATGAATGGCTGGTTGGGAGTGGAAGTGGAAGTGGAAGTGGGAGGCTGCGAGTTCAAGTCGAAAGGGGGTCGAGCTTATGCGTTGTCCTGAGGGTGACAGGCATCTTTGATGCAGTGATGAGTTGGCAAGCGGGAGTTTCTTGACTCTTTTTTTAACTTATTCCGAGAACTACCTTACATACATACATACATACATAGTACGGAGTAAAGTACTGCTGGGTGAGTTGTTAAGTTAGTGGAGAATAAGCATGGAAGGTTCCTACGATGGTACGATGTTTCAGAAGGTCGGTAGAGAACGAAGAATAAGAAGAAGGATAAGAAGAAGATGAAGATGGATTGCCACTGAAGAATCCAAGCAAGGGTGGACAAGCGGGAGCAGGGCAGAGCGCGTACATACAGACAGACAGACATATATCGAGCATGGATTGATTACATACAGACATGCATAACCATCGAGGGATGCAGGAAGAGGCATGCACCAAACAAGCGGAGAGCTGAATCCGTCTGGCATGCTTAGCTAGGACGGCTCTCCAGACAAAGAAGTGCTGCATGCACTTGCATCTACTAGTGTAGGTAGGTAGACAGAGGTAAGAATTAAGGGAAGAGATTAGAATTAGATGGAGATGGGATTGGCTCTGCACCATGAATGAATGGCGTCGACAGCAGCATGCGGAATGACGAAAAGAGGGTGCAGTGCCGCCAGCCGGTCTCTAGCCTCATACACCGTGTCGGCAGCCGCAGCGTCGTTGTTGATCGAGAGGGGAGAAGACCTCCATCCGAACGCAGCGTCGAGGGAGCCACTGCCACTGCTTGCATCGATGCTAGTGCTGGTGCTGGAGTTGACATTGACATGTCTGTGCTGGACACTACTGAGGCCAGCCAGGGTGTAACATGTATGATGCGAATCGACGTGTCTGTCTATACCGTCAGCTCAGCCTCAACTAGTTAGTTATAGGGGTAGATCTGCTTACTTCCCCGGCTTGTCTCGCAGGCCGCCGTGCTGCGACTGGCAGCAGTTGAGGATATATCTGGTCAAGCCCTCGCGACTGTAGAGGGCGGAAAGGGGTTCGCAGTCCGACTCGGACTCGGAGTCTGAAGTTGGGTCAGACAAGGCCTGCTGGATCAGGGGCCAGCATCCGCCGACCCAGTGACTGTAGCAGCCGTCGACGAGCTTGTTGGTTCTGCCTGAGAAGCCGCCTTCGGGAGCGTACTGGCGAGCCGAGAGCCATGATATCAGCGACGGCAGATCAATGTACCTACTATTAGTTTAGTATATATATATATATATACAATTATACAAAGTAATTAGGGATAGGGTACCTGAGCATAGTGCGAGGGTGGCCCATGATGCAGAGACATGCGACGGCGCAGTAGGTGTATGCACCATGGGCCTCTGTCCCGGGACTCCCTGAGAACCCTCCTTCATACGTTTGGCCTAGAGAAGTTAGTACATAAGACTCAAAGTAAGAGAGAGAGAGAGAGATGTACATCTAGCGAGGTACTCTGGCAGGCCGGTGGTGAAGAGGGTGAGGCCGGCCTTGCGCGCAGGAGCATCGAGTGGCAACTCCAGCGGGAGATCCAGCAGGGCAATCATTACCATAGCGCAGTACGCTCCTCTGAAGAAGTTAGAAAACTCACTTATGTGAAAGTAAGAAGAAGAAGAAGAAGAAGAAGAAGATAGACTGACCGGACATCCTGCTCGCCTCCGACGCTGACCTGAAACCCGCCGTCCGCCTGCTTGAGCTGACCCAGCCATCTCCAACTATATATTGTCAGTATAGTATAGAAATGAGTATAGAGTAGAGTGAGTAGGGAGAGTACCATGCAAGTCTGTCAATCAAGGTAAACGCCTCCTGTCCACCCACCATGGCCAGGCTGAGGGTAATGGCATACGAGGAGGCACAATGGGCCGTCTGTCCATGTCCGCCGCCAAAACCCCCTGAACCACTCTGCATCGGCGCCGCAGTAGCAACCAGCCTACCATCATCATCAACAAATACACTATATTCAATGCAAAAGAACAAAGATATCGTACCTCTCTCTAAAAAGACTGACGTCCTCCCCCAGCAGGGCCAGCCCTGTCAGCGCCCAGTAGACCATCCACGGCCTGCTCGCGTCCAGCCCGACAAAGCGCCCCGGGTACTCCCCCAGGGCATCCAGCAGGTACTCTACATGCAGTTCTCTGGCCAGCGACTGGACGCCGTGCCTGTTGAGGGGCAGGCCGGTCTCCTCGCCGCGCAGAAAGGGGATGCATCTGCCGACCACCTCTGCCTGGGAGCGGGAGGTGTCTGTCTGCAGCGAGTCGAGGAGCGGCGGCTGCGTGGCGAAGAGGGAGGGTATAGCCATCTTTTGCTTTTTCTGCTTCTTCTTCTGTTTCTTCTCGATGGTCCTTTTGGCGCTGGTTATAGACGAAGGGAAGACGACTCTTCTAGTCGGCATGGGGGGGGTATTTTATACTACTGTCATGGCGTCTCTCTATATATTATTGTATATTGTGCTGGTGTCGTTATTGTTGTGTTGGTATTGTCGTTCTTAGTAAGAAGACCAAAAGACCAACCACTACTAAGTAACTGCTAACTAACTGTCACGGCTGCGGCCCGCCAGCTGCAAGTCATCCTCGACTCTCCGGATTATCATCATTATTACGGAGTATGCTTTTGATCGTGATCTCTGATCTGATCGGCTGGGAAGAAGCAAGTCCTCGCACAGTCCTCTCTCTAGTCTCTCTTCTCTTCTCTTCTCTTCTTCGCCCCGTCGACTATTGACTATCGACCTCACCGCCGCCAAAGTAGCGGTCCTCTCTTTACTCTTTGCTCTCAACTCTTTGCCCTCGCTCTGTCTGTCTGTCTCTTTCTATGCATGTCTCTGTCTCTGGTCGTTTGCATCTGCATCCCAGCCACCTCCTCGCCCTCCCCAAACATCTTCTTCTCTAACATCTCCCTTACTGTCTATCTATCTATCTATCTATCTTCTTCTCTTACTGTCTTGCTGGGAACAAGGATGACGAGGCCGTGCATGGGACCGGGGGGTGCGTGGCCGTAGGACGTCGCCAGAGAGAAGACGGGGTAGACCAGCCACTAGTAGACTTAATAAAAGTAACTGAAGTAGTAGAGTGGCAGTAGGCCAAGGCCGTGGCAGTGGCGGGGAAGCCTTCACCGCTGCTTTGGCCTTTTAGTAGTTAGTTAGTTAGAAGTCCTTCCTCGCTCTCTTCGTGGGGGAAAAAGAGCAAGACGAAGGACAAGCAAGAGTCAAGGCGCGACGACGGCTTTTCTTCTTCTTCTTCTTCTTCTTCTTCTTCTCGCTTCTCATCCTCTTTTGCTTACTTCTTCCTCTCATCCTCCGTCAAGCAAGTTACATCGAGTGGACTGAGAGACTCCCAGCTGAGCGGCTGAGCTGGCTAACTGACGACTCACGACTCACGACTGACGACTGACGACCGACGACCGACGACCTGACGACAGACGGAGAGACCATGGCGGACGTCGAGCTGACTGCGGACGGCCTCGTTGGCCTCGACTACAGTCCCAGGGCTTACCTCTCGCATTCCTGGCCAGACGAGACAACAACAACTACTACGACAACTACTTCTTCAGCGGCAACGACAGGGACCAGTGCAACGGCGACAACGGCCTTCGATGCTGCTGCTGACCCGGGGCTCATGACGGAGTGGCACTTCCAACGTCTCCAGCCTCACCTCCAGTTCCACCACCAGCATCAACAACATCAACATCAACATCAACATCACCAGCAGCATCACCAGAGTCAACCGGACTACTCTTCTTATACCACGATGCCGCTGCAGTCGCCCATAGGACTGCCCATGCTGCCAGTCACAGACACAGAGGTCCATCACCATCATCATTTAGACACCACTACCACTACTAGTATGATGGATGGCTCTTATATCCCCTTATCCACCCCAGTCGACATGGTCCCCTTCACCTGGCATGACTTCCACGCTGAACTCGGTGCTTTCCCCCTCGACGGCACCGCTGCTGCTGCTGTCACTACTGCGGCGACCATGAGTGGGACTTACCAGGCAGAGACCGGAAGTTCCCCCGTCGACAGCTACCTCGAGGTCCGCTCTCTCACCAGCGCCAGCAGCGACAACGGATGGACGGCCATAGACAGAGCTCACTCCATAGACTCTTCGTCTTTCCATGACCACCACAGTCATCAGCAGCAGCAGCACCATCCCATCTTCATCAACCCCAGCCAGACCCTGCACAACCGCAGCCTGTCAGAGTCTTCCTTCTCAGACCACCACTCCCTCCACTCCCGCAACTCCTTTGGCTCCTTTGTCGATGTCTCCCTCTCGCCACACATGCACTCCCCGGGCTCGGAGTCGGCGCTAGACTTCGACTACGGCCTCCCTTTACCCCGTCGTGTATCATGCGATCTCGTCTCCCATGGCTCCATCTCCCCGACTGCTGTCAGTCCCATCGCCATGGTCAGACCCATGCCCGTCATCACCACAAAGAAGCAGAATGCTTCTTCCTCTTCGCCGCCTTCACGGTCGCCCAAGGCATCCTCTGTCTCTGGATCTGGATCGGGTGCTCATGTCTCGGCTGCTGGATCGCCGCCCAGCAGAAAGCCGTCGCGTAAGAGTCCTATTGCGGCCAAGAATGCAGAGACCAAGGTCCGCAAGCAGAGCACCGGTGGTAAAGACGGCAGTGGCAACGGCGAGAAGAAGATCGGTAAGCGGAAGGGCCCGCTCCGGCCTGACCAGCGGAAACAGGCCAGCGAGATCCGCAAACTCAGAGCCTGTCTCCGCTGCAAGTTTCTCAAGAAGACGGTAAGTCTCTCTATTTCTTTATCTTTATGATCTTCACTAATATAATTCCTGTAGTGCGACAAAGGAGAGCCGTGTACGGGCTGCCAGCCATCGCATGCCCGGCTCTGGCAGGTCCCCTGCACCCGCATCGACATCAAAGAGATCGGCTACTTCATGAAAGACTGGAAGGCCGACTACGAGCGTCATGTGACCCTGGGCTTCTCCGTCGGCAACATCACCGGCTTCTCCGACCAGGAACGCACCCTCTTCATCACCCACGGCTACGGCCAGGTGCTTCCAGTCAAGGCCCGCGAGGTCTACGTCCACGATGAAGAGTGCTTCAACCTCGACTGGGTCGAGACCATGAGCCGCCCGGCAAACCACTACGACCTCAAGACCGCCAAGCTCTCTGCTGGCATGGAAGGCATCTCCACCGCCATGCTCTCGGACTACCTCGACCGCCACATCGACGGCAACGGCAGCTACGAAGGATTCGTCGACGAGTACTTCGCCGGCACCCCTTTTCTCACCCAGATGCTCAAGACCGCCTACCGCTTCTACTTCCGCACCAAGCTGCCCGTCATCCGCAAGGCCCTCAAGCTCACCCTCGCCTACAACCTCACCATGCACGTCACCATGGTCGAGGGGCTAGGCGAGCTCGAAGAAGAAGCCTTCTCGGGCAAAGTAGAGGACTCCGACAGCCACTACAGAGGCAAAGTCATGGCTCCCGTCATGATAAACTTCCAGGTCAAGTGTGCCATGGCAAACATGTGGCGCGAGCTCCAAAAGGACGTCCTCGAGGAACTCTCCGCCCTCTACTCCAGCGTCTACAGCGGCGAGAAGCTCAAGAACTGGCCCATCATCTTCATGCTCGCCACCATCCTGCTCGCCGTCTGGGAGGAAATGCAGTTCGACTGCCACTACCGCGTCCAGGACCCCGTCGCCGTCTCCAAATTCTGCAACGACATGGAGTCCATCCCCGTCGGTGTCATCGTAGGCTTGTTCCAGGCCATCTCGCAGAAGCTGCCTGCCTTCACCGACTGGGACACCGCGCAGCACCAGCAGATCTTCAACTTCAACTCGGATGTCTGTGCCGCCATGACAGAGGTCCGTGGCCATGTACGGCAGTACGAGTCCTATCTGCGCAGCCGCAACGAGACATCTGTCTTTGACCGGGAGGACTTCGACTGCCTCTCGAACAAATTCGTCAGTCGGCTGGTGATACGTGCAAATTGACTAGCCGACTCTGACGACCGGGGCCCGCGCGATAAGCGCGAGCGACGCCGGAAATGGGGCTGGGTCGGCGAGCGGCCCCCCGCGAGAGTGAAAAAGATGAAACTTGCCGACCTCGAGATGCGCAGGGGTGTTCTCGTCTCGTAACATTTCCGCATTTGCACCAAACTTGTCTTAACCATTGATCGATTTTACGGATGATGATGATGAACGAAAGTCCTGTTTTAATGATGATCATGATGATGAACCGTCTTGCGTTCCGTTGCATCCCTATCCCTATACCACTGTTGACCGTTTCCCAGCCAGTCATCTACCTGCCCATCCACAAACTATCTAAGATGAGAAGTTACTTCTCATCACGCATTACGTGTTACGATTTAATCCGTCATTCTTTTTACGACCCTCATTATGTCTGTCTATTTCTAACCCATGTTGCAAGTCCAGTTTTTCTATCTACCCCCATTACCTCACGGGATATATGTGTACTGTTATCGTTATCTTTAGTCCTTGTTGCTGTTTGTTGGCGATTTGGTTGTTTTTTTTTCGTTTCCTTTTTTTTTTTTTTTTCTGTTTCTTTGCTTTCCTACTTGTTTCCCTTTCACTCCCCGTCGCCTTCGCCTCTGCCGTGTTCAGGCTAGACGGGTCGAGTTGAACCCCATACACCACACTCCGAGTTTCCACCTTTTAATCCTTCTTCTTCTTCTTCGCCTTCCTGTGTTTTTTGACTATTGGTTTTTACTGTTTGCGTTCAGTTTGATTCCCGACTGACGAAGAGATGAGAAAACAAAAAATTTGGTCCTGCGAGAGAATGCGGATCGACGAATGATCTGATTACTTATCCTTACCTACTTATGATCTGAGATGAAGATGAAAGAAAGAAGAATTGCTTTATCTTTTTTTTATTTGGAGTTATTTAATAATTTAAATCATCTTGCTATGGATAACTATCTATATCTACTTGGTGATGTATTTACGCAGCTCTTACATACCTGACCTTCCCTCCTTGTCTTACTCTCTCGCTTCCCTAGCATACTGCATCTCGGGTCCTAGCTATATCTGCATCAATCAATTGTTTAATTCCTTCACTTCGTCTACATCTACGTCACTTCACTTCACTTCGCTTGCTGCGTCTTCCTGCTGCGCCTTCAAGGTCGGGTTGATGCCTGCCACGTGACCTCTACGTCATCTGCCGAGGCTGAAGCCTGGCCGGTGGCTTGTTCCGCTGACTCATCACTGCTCGACATCTGATTGGTTCTCGTACCTTCCAGCAGCTTCTGCCTCCCTGGCTTCCGCTTTCGGCCTTAGCGCGGGCAGTCACCGCCCCTCTCCGCAAAGGCGCAGCCGCCCTATAAAAGGCCCGCCCGCCGCCTGCCATGACTCCCTTTCTTCCTCTTCCTTACAACCCCATCAAGCATCAGGCATCAGGCCACTTCTCGACAGCAAACTCCCCAGTGCCATCACCCCGCCGCGCCAGCCATCATATACTTGTACCCTCCCTTGCTCTCGTTACAACACATAGACGTCCATCACCATGCAAATTTTCGTCAAGACACGTAAGTTGAACCAGACAGATAACAGTGCTGTGAGGAAGAAGGTCGAGTGCTAACGGCTTGCAGTCACCGGAAAGACTATCACCCTCGAGGTGGAGTCCAGCGACACTATTGACAACGTCAAGACCAAGATCCAGGACAAAGAGGGCATCCCACCAGACCAGCAGCGCCTGATCTTCGCAGGAAAACAACTCGAGGACGGCCGCACCCTCTCCGACTACAACATCCAGAAGGAGAGCACCCTGCACCTCGTCCTTCGTCTCCGCGGTGGCATGCAAATCTGTAAGTTTTACGCAATTTTACCCCTCGCCACCCACCACCCACCAACCAACCAGAAACAACAACTAACACCATTTCCCAACCAGTCGTGAAAACTCTGACCGGCAAGACCATCACTCTTGAGGTCGAATCCAGCGACACCATCGACAACGTCAAGACCAAGATCCAGGACAAAGAAGGCATCCCACCAGACCAGCAGCGCCTGATCTTTGCAGGAAAACAGCTCGAGGACGGCCGGACCCTCTCGGACTACAACATCCAAAAGGAATCAACTCTCCACCTTGTCCTGCGTCTGCGTGGAGGCATGCAGATCTTCGTCAAGACGCTTACGGGCAAAACCATCACGCTCGAGGTCGAGTCCAGCGACACGATAGATAACGTCAAGACAAAGATCCAGGACAAGGAAGGTATTCCGCCAGACCAGCAGCGTCTCATCTTTGCTGGAAAACAGCTCGAGGACGGCCGGACGCTGTCCGATTACAACATCCAGAAGGAGAGCACGTTGCATTTGGTGCTGCGGTTGCGAGGCGGTAACTAGATGGATGGGTGTTCGACGACGGGTGTTTGTTACGACCTTTTCTTTTAACTTCTTGGGATGAGATGCTGTTTTTCTTCACCACTTTTAACTACACCGGTTTCTTTAACTATGGCGTTGGGGGAACGGATGATGATGCTTTTACCTAAACTCTCTTGCTCGACTGATTCTGGGACTGGCACGTCCGTTCTTTTTTTTACGCTTCCTAAAGTACTTCTAGATAAATCTAGTTTACTCCCCTAAACACACCTCAATAAAGCTCTTTTGAAGCATTTGTTTTGTTGTTACTGTTGTAGTGCAGTGCGTAGACATGTCCTGGTAGAACTTGCTCTGGAGGAAGAATGGCTAGTTATCGATAAGGGCGGATGGATCGAGGAAGGCTCCATGGTTCGGAACATCTGGCCGGTACCTTAAATGCTAGGTAGGTTGCTTTCAATACTCTATTCTAAACCTACAACGTATTCTATAGTCAGTCCTTCAAATCTCAAATCCATCTTCAGAACTTTCAAACCATTCAACCCTTCCTCCTATCTATATCACTCTATTCAACTCTCTCACCCTCTAAATCAACGTCCAACATCCTAACGATCTCCCTGCTCCTTGCCCTTCTGGGGTCCTTTGCAGCCTAGATATGCAGTCGTTTGGCCGGAATGAATATACCCTGTCTCAATCTAGGCAGCAACACCCCCCCTGGCTGGCCCTTCTCGTTCAATTGGCCGATACACCTGTACGGCTCTGTTGGATATATGACTGCAAAGGGAGAGAGGGGTAGCCATCTCAGGTCTATAAAGAGGCAGTGAATTCCCATCTTCCTTCCTTCTCTTTCTCTCTCTCTTCTCTATCTCAAGACATCTCGAAGAACCAAGAATCTGAAATCATATATATTGTCCTGAAAGCTCACATCGAAGCAAAACTTTGCGTAAGGAACCCGTTCCAAAAGATGATGTGATTGAATGGCTAATGGGAGGTGAAAGAAAAATGTCCTCGTCCTTGACCGAAGATATTAAGGTGGAGCTTCAAATGAGGCTCATCGAGCAGAAGCAGCTCGAGGAGGAGGCTGTCAGAATCGAAGCGTTCATGGACACCATCCGGAGCGACATCGCAGCGATGGAGTTGATGTCCTCCAGTGCCCGAAATGCGCGGGGACAGCGAGACCGATACGCTACGATGTCTCCTGAGGAGGAGCTGGCACATTACGAGCAGGAACTGGACGATGTCAGACAAAGAATAGATGCCCTGCAGGCCGCTATCGAGTTGTTAGAACAGCAACTCTAAGGCAGACAAATAAAGTAAGGCCCCCCTCCTCATCGTCGCCGTTTAGCTATGATACAACAGACAATGATACTGACACCAACCAGCGAACAGGGAACCCAGCAATGAAGTGGGCTCAATGTGTTTTTGATGTTTTTGAAGTCGAGTTTCTTCCAAATCCTGTAGATAGCTGAATCCGCATCTTCGCCGCTCTTAGACAAGGTGTTGGAATCCTTTCCTTCCGCTGGCTTAAGTACCAGAGGAGCAGCCGGCTGGGTTGGCTCTAATCCTGCCAGTGCTAACTCCTTCTTATAAGCCTCGAGGTCGGACAGTACTCTCTGCAGTTCTTTTTCCTGTCGTTTACGCACTTTGAGTTTATAGAAACTATCCACTCTTTCTCCACTGTCAGTTCCGTGATATATGTTGTCCAGCAGGTTCCAGTAGACATTGCCAAGGTAGCATGGTTTTAAAAGAGCGTAGGCAATGAACAACTTTTCCGATTTGAGATGTCTGTTCCATAGTTTGACCAGGGGAAGACATAATTTCAGCTTCTTATCTGGGTTATAATGTTGGTCTTCCCTATCTCTTGCGGCTCGCTGAAACTGAGAAACGCATACGTCAAGTACAAGGTGGTAGGGCCTCGTAGTTGCAGCTGGAAGTTCCTGGCCACATATCCAGGACGGTGGAATAAACATTTGCGATGGGACTGTGTGGCTCCATTCCCAATCGATGACTGAGATGATGTTCAGGTCATCATCCACGAAGATATTGGGAGGTCGAAGATCCCCGTGCATCAAAAGGAATGGTCCATGATTATCCCTTTCGTCTACCCATTCCATCACAATGCCTTGCGATGCAAATATGCCATATAGATAGTTCCGTGCATCCGTCTCGTTGAAAACGCTGTCTCTCGAATGGTAGAAGTCGTTGAAGACCAATTTCATAACAGTATAGACGTAGTCAATCGTGGAACTGTAAGTCTGATGGGCTGGAATTATCTCGGAGCTCTTCAGGCCGCTGAGTTCTTGGTCGTTCAGCTCGATAGTGAGCGGCCGGTTATGTTCAAAAACCCAGTTTTCGTCATTGCTGTCTAGCGTCAAGGCACCAATACGATCAAACTGGTGACGGTGAAGTTGGAGGTATATATCTGCAAGCTGGCCGTAAAGATACAGCTCCTGCTCTTTAGGAAGCTTTGATATCCTTCCATGGAGTGTATTGCCCATGATGTACTCTACGGCCATAAATGGAAGGTTAAGGAGGTTATCCCGGTTTATGGAATAATGGTACAGCCGTGGAATAGGAATCGTGGTTTTCTCGGCGATGAACCTATTTAATAGAACAGTACCGTTAGCTACATGTTGACAATAGCTTGAATGCAGCAATGGACATCTTGAAGTTTCCTATCCTTACTTCATTGTTGCTATCTCGCTTCGCAGCTTCTCCTCGGGAAAAGCGAGACGCGGAAGCAAGGGAATTCGGATCATCCATCGTTCGGTCGTCTCCTGCGTTGACGCTGAATCGGCAGCGTCGGGGATCTGCTCCGTAAACACAATGGGAAAGCAGACATTATAGCTCCCTTTCTTTGGGTCTGAGAAGATTTTACATGATTTTTTCTCAGGGTGCAAGGAGGAGGCCAACTCGCAGACTAGAGATGGCTCGATTGAGTCAATGAACTCTTTGACTTTCTTCTCGAGTATGTGGCTGGTGAGCTGGTCCATCGTACCAGCGAAAGAGTGACAGACTGTTCCCGTACCTAGCAGCCAGCAAAAGTGTTTGCCTGGAGCAGCGGATGAGCGGAGCTGCCGTCGTTAAAACTTAACTAAGCGCTAGGCGCGAACTAACTAGTTAGGCTAGGCGCCAGCAGTTAGTCAAGAAACTTACGGAGCTATCTCTACTCGTTATCAGCAAAGCTGCAGGAATATATCCACTTCATGAGTCCGACGAAGCCGAACAGGCCTTGGTGATTGGATTATTGGGTGCAGAGTGAGGGGATTCCCAGCAGTATTGTGGTCTAGAGCACATCACTGGGCGGTACGGTGGTAGTTATGCCCTCCTACTTCTACCACCTCATTCTCGAAGTCCTCTCCCACCCCCAGGCCAGCACAGCGCATACACCTTCAAAGGACGCACAAAAACATCCGAACACTGAGACCTCTCTCGAAGAATACGCTTTAACGCTCAAATCCCTACGTGAATCTGTACGGCCGTTTCGTAGGAAGAAAGCCAAACCCTCGCCGAACGTTGCCACCGATCTTGCGAACCACCTAGCTACCACGTCCCTACAAGACACGGAGATACATACAGATCACGATCCCCGAACAGACACCCTCACCATACAGGGCGTCGATATGGTTCATAACGAGATATCCAGAGGCATAGGGTCGAATGTTATTAGCGGCTTAGCTACGAAGGGCAAATATGTCCCTCTTGATCTGGGTTTGACGGATAGCGTGTATGGGATTGTTCATCTTTACCGTGATGCAGAGGAAACACCTTCGCTAGGCCAGGATAATCATGACCAGGATCTGTTCTATTTGCAGGGTGTAGGGTCTTCTTCACATGCGCCTGCTTCGAACCATCCATCTGCGTCTTGTCCTGCTCATGCGTCAGGTTCCAGAGCCGCAGGTGGGCCAGCGGAAGAAACGCTTTCGTTGGACGATTGTACAACGTTATGTATTCTTGCAGTCCCGTCATACCTCTCTCCCTCGGATTTTCTGGGGTATGTAGGTGAACAGACGATGGAGGACGTTAGTCATTTCCGGATGGTGAAGACTGCGAGGGCAAATCGATATATGGTTCTAATGAAGTTTCGGAGTGGGAAAAAGGCCAAGGAATGGCAGAATACTTGGAACGGGAAGCTATTTAATAGCATGGAGGTATCTTTTTTTGTGCTCTTTATTTTGAAATGATTCTCTGCTGACTTGCTACCATAGCCTGAAGCTTGCCATGTGGTATTTGTCAAAGACGTGGAGATACAGGTTAGTTCTTCTGCAGCGGAGTCAAAGTTCCCCGATATGAAGAACGATCCGTTTCCCTTTTCGGATGCACCTTCAACAATGTCGAGTAAACCGCTGGCTCCACCTACACCATCGTTGATAGAATTGCCTACTTGTCCTGTATGCCTCGAGCGTATGGACGAGACATCAGGTTTACTTACGATTCTCTGCCAGCATGTTTTTCACTGCACTTGTCTACAGAGATGGAAAGGAAGTGGGTGCCCGGTCTGTCGGTATACGCAGGACGATCTAGGGAAGCGGAATGTCAACTTTGCCATGGATGAGGGACCGAGCGAGTGTAGCGTCTGCCATTCAGAAGTTAATCTCTGGATATGTCTGATATGTGGCAACATCGGCTGTGGGCGGTACGATGGAGCGCACGCCTTCGATCACTACAAGGAGACATCCCACTCGTTCGCCATGGATCTCACCTCCCAGCGTGTCTGGGATTACCTAGGAGACGGCTATGTCCACCGTATCATCCAGGGTAAATCAGATGGCAAGCTCCTAGAACTTCCAGCCAGGGGAGACAGCGCGCTCGATCCTCCAGATTGGAGCGATGCCGTGCCGCGAGAAAAATTCGAAAACATCAGCGTCGAGTATACCCACCTACTCACCAGCCAACTTGAGAGCCAGCGCGTTTACTTTGAAGAGCAAGTTGAGCGTGCCGCAGATAAAGCTTCCAAGGCCAGCGCAAGCGCATTATCCGCCCAGGAGGCAGCAGAACGGCTTGCCAGAGATATGGAGAAGCTACAGTCGCAGTATGATTGTTTAACTCGAGAAACCATCCCGTCTCTGGAGCGTGACAAGGCGCGCGCCGAGCGCCGAGCAGAAAAGTTCGAGTCCATGTCTCGGACGATGGAGAAGCAATGGCGGGAAGAGAAGACGATGAATGCCAGCTTAATGGAGCGAGTAGAATTTCTTGATGCAGAGGTGACCAAACTGAAGGCCGCAAACGAGGATCTGGCAGAGCAGAATCGAGATCTTACATTCTTCATTAGCGGGACTGAACGGTTGAAGAACCAGGGCGAAGATGTCGTAGAGGGAACAGTCAGCGTTCCAGATCCCCCGACATCAAGTTCGAAGCGGAAAGGAAAACGCAAGGCAAAGAAGTAGATCAGGCATATGTTCTTCACCTGATTGACGCTTCACTATGTTCTTACTCGGCGATCAGACCCCGATTATCCTCCCGTTGGCACTAGATCTTACATATCGATCAGCGAACTAGGCTGGCTCCGACGAAGCTCCCGCTCCGAAAACAGCTACTTGTCATGTGCTGCCTGGCAGGGATGGGGCTAACAAATATCTCTTTGGGATGAACAGCACATTTAATGCCTGTATTATACTGTATGCTACGTGGACAGACGACATGAATCATTTTTACGAGATACGATATTAACGGGAACGGATGGGAAAATGTGCAAACTGGGAATACCAGTAAGTCAGCTCTATCCGTTGTGCAAACGCCGAGGATCATGTCCAATGGGAACGAAGGGGCAAAACGAAGCGATGAAGCAAAGCAAATCCCACGCAGTTTATTTTCGTTCCGAGGAGGAGAAGGATAATTGATCATCGGCAAGGAAGCAGAGTAGAGCAGTTAGTTATCTGAATAAGCAAATACAAGCTATGCATGAACATTTGTGACGAAAATGGAGATGCCAAAAATATGCCCATTGAAAGTAACTAGAATTCCATGCCCTTTCCGAGCTTGCCGATAATAAATCAATTGGGCCTGAAAGGTCTTTTCCACCCAGCCAACGCAATAACAATATAACCTAGTAACTAGTAACTAGTTAGATGTGATAAGTGCAGAAACCGTTCGTATAGATGTAGCTGCAGCATCACATGCCCCTACAGAGCCTTTCCGCTCTGGCTTGACGAATGAATGGCACGAACACCAGTTCCCACAACCTGCCTATATACCTTATCCTCGCTTCAGCGGGAAGAGAACAAGCAATTTATGATTTCGGGAGCTAGCTAGCGGGATAGCCAAGTAGTTAATTGGGAGGGTCGGTTGTCGGGTTGTTGTGGCATGCTGTGAGTTGGTGAAGCTGGCGGTGCGCGGGCCCCCTCTATGTTTGAGATGTGCGCCACATCGGAGCTTAGAAGGGCTGGAATGTAGAAACTTCATCTGGAATCCCCGATACCGGTGTTCGGATTCCGCCCAATGTGCAAGGGTGGATTGATTGACGATAGGATGTGTTGGTGCCGGAAAGGCGGAGGAAGAAAGGGAGTATGGGGTATGGGGGAGAGGTTTACTGCTGCTGCATGCATCCATGTCCAACTAACTCGGGAGGATTGGAAATATATCCAGAAACGTTGGTCTAGAAGCGGACTGCCGTGGGACAAGGATAGCGTGGCCTCTGTGCGATGTAATGTCCTTAGGAAGCTTGTTCATGGGACACAAGCCCGGAGCATCCTCTGCACTGTTGCATCTCCCGTTCCGTTTGTTTGTTCGCTGTTTCGCATCTCGCTCCCGTGTTTGGGAAATATGAGCTTTCCTTCACCGCTCTCCGCTGCGGGTGAGCCATCCCTTTTGTTGGTTCCTGGTGTTGAGTTATCGCATCCAGCCTGCTGCCATTGGCTACTATTGCAGGAACACCCGCAGGGCCGTATAGTTGCTTTTTCTTTTGCTCTCAACAGCATCGGTCTCCTTTGCTCTACGGAATATGCATCTGTGACTTTCTTCTCTACCTATCTTCCTAGTACTGAGCACTGTGTTCCGCAGTAGCATATCTATCTCCCTCGCACGCTCCGCAGACCGACCGCGGACCTCCGAGAGCCGAGCACCGAGGAAACTGCCGTCCATCCCGTCCAGCGTTCGGCTGCGGCGGAACAAGCGAGCGGCTGAGCGCGCCAAGCGGTCGGAATTTCTTGGCTAAAACGTGATAAGGCCCATGCGCTCCGCCAAGGTTGGCGCAATGCACGGAATGCCCCACTTGCCTTTGTTCTATTGGTTAATAGCGAAGAAGGCTGAGCGGGCGCTCACGTGGCTATGCAATGAGCCAATGGGAGCGCAGAGAGCGAGCATGGGAGGAGTGGCGGGCCAAGCCTTTCCGGCCGCGTGCAGGGGAGGAAAGGAACGTCCTTTATTTATGAAGCAGCGCTTTTATGCATCGTTCCACCCGTATAATCCCTGCGCTTAGTCGCTGGCTTGCTTTTTCCGCGCGTTTCTCGGATCTGGGGGAATGTCAAAGAAGATGTGATAAGGCAGCCCATCCGGTTTACTGGAAAGCCTAAATCACAGTTTTCTCACCTTGGGAAAAAAACCCTTCCGATGGGGGCTCGCAACATCCCGAGGAAATATCAGCATCCCATCTGTCTGCACGCCGAAATCACAAGGGACAATAATATCATGGTTCTCAAGAACCCTGAACGCCAAGCGGCCTCTCTATCAGAAGCGCCTCTCGCCTGGGAAGCTCCTGGGCCTAGAGCGAAAGTCAGTCCGGCGGTTGCAGCGCCCTGATAGGATCTTGCCGCTGGCTCGACCCACCATGTCCTTGGTCGCCGCCCAGCACCCTCGGAGCTCGACGGTGGCAGCCAAAGTAACCCAGGGTTCCTGACGTCACAGCGTACCGAACTTGGTCCGCCATAACTCTGCGGTGTTCTTGGCAAATACACGATTTCCGAGGAGGGAGCGGGCGGGACCTGGATATATAAAGTCCTGCGTGGCCCCCGCATCCATCAAGCTTCTTCGCCGTGTGAAGCATATCTGATTGCTATAACTATACCAAGAACCCCCCAGGAGAGGTGTATTCGATCGTTTTGTCTATCACCTATTGCGCTGTTCAAAGTATATATCTTTGGACTCCACTTCCCACCTTATAAACACTGTTTCATAACAAAAGGACTCCTGCCCCGGCAAAGAACGAAGAGAGCACGTGTGACATTTCGTGATGCCTTCCAAGAAGGATGGCATAAATCAAGAGTATGAGCAACATCCCTTTCTGCTCTCTATCGACCGTCTCGCCCAGGAGCTCGATACCAACATCGACACCGGTCTGAGTGATGCAAAGGTCGGCCAGCTTCAAGAAAAGTATGGTGCCAATCGGCTCTCTGGGGAGGGGGGTGTCAAATGGTACACCCTCCTCGGAAAGCAGATATCAAATGCCATGATACTAGTAAGTTCAATACTTTGCCCTTATCCCTTCGTCCATCTAGACTAGATATCTTCGTGGTGTTGTAAGCATCCAGTGAATCAATATGTATGATAGAATCATTCTTAAAACATTGGTTAAGCTTGACAATTTTGATATGATATCACTTCTTCAACCTATCATGGCGGGAAACCAAATAATAACAGCGTTTCTTTCTCTAGGTCCTCGTACTAGCAATGGCACTTTCATACGGTGTCTCCGATTATATTGAAGGGGGTGTCATCACTGCTGTTATTGTGATCAACGTCCTCATCGGATTCTACCAGGAGTTCAAAGCCGAGAAGAAAATGGACTCTCTGCGATCTCTGTCCTCTCCCTCCGCAAACGTCATCAGAAACGGCAACGCCATCACTGTTCCATCAGGAGAAGTCGTTCCAGGAGACGTTGTTCAGATAAAAACTGGAGATACTGTTCCTGCCGACTTAAGGCTCTTTGAAGCCATGAACCTTGAATGTGATGAAAAGATTTTGACTGGAGAGGCCGCCCCCGTTGCCAAAGATACTGAGTTCGAAGCTAGTGGTGATGAGGTGACTGTAGGTGTTGGAGACCGCCTCAACATGGCCTACTCTTCCTCCACCGTAACCAAGGGCCGTGGTCGTGGAATCATCGTCTTTACCGGAATGTATACGGAAATTGGCAAGATAGCACAGTCTATGCAAGGGAAAAAGAGGAAAGCCGGCCGCTCCATGTCTTCCAAGCACGGCACCTTCCAGCCAGTCAAGGGAGGTGCTTTGCGTATCTGGGATGCGATTGGAAAGTTCCTCGGCTTGACTGAGGGGACTCCCCTGCAGATTAAACTGAGTAAACTTGCCTATTCCCTCTTTGGATGCGCCATCTTGCTTGCTATTATTGTCTTTGGAGTTAACAAGTTCAACGTGACGGACGAAGTCGCTATCTATGCCATATCAACTGGTAAGTAAAACCCATGTAACATCCGATAGTTACATGCTTCGACTTTAACTAACTGCCGAAATAGGAATCGCCATTATTCCCGAATCACTTATTGCCGTCCTTACAATCACAATGGTGGTTGGTATGACCCAGATGCGAAAGCGACGAGTGGTCGTTAGGCAACTTAGTGCTCTCGAGGCTCTAGGAGGTGTTACCAACATTTGCTCAGATAAAACAGGGACTTTGACTCAGGGACAAATGGTAACACGTAAAGCGTGGCTTCCTGGCGTGGGAATTTACTCCCTAACCAAGTCCAACGATGCTACTAACCCAACCCGTGGAACTGTCACTCTCGGAAAGTCACCAGCAACCCGACAGGAGGCAGAACAGGAACGCGAGCGCAAACGCTCCGAGCAAGATGCTCTTCGAAGTGCCGCTGGTTTGAAATTTGACGTCCCTGCCGAGAAAGAAGAACGAGACCAACGACGAAAGGAGGAGATTCGTAATGAGAAGCAGGCAGAAGAAGATGACGATGATGAGGGATCTGAAGAAGCCGTCCTCCCAGAGGTTGTCCCTGAATTGGCCGCTTTTCTTGAATCTGCTGCATTGTGCAATCTAGCAACTGTCCGCTATGACGAGTCTGCCGGCTCCTGGCAAACAATGGGTGACCCAACCGAAGTTGCCCTGCAAGTGTTTGCCCATAGGTTTGGGTTTGGCAAGAAATCTCTCGAGGCTGAGAATGGATGGAAGCCTCTGGCTGAATACCCCTTTGATAGCACCGTGAAGCGCATGTCTGTCATCTACAAACGTGACCAGGGGGATGGAACTGTCATCTTCACCAAAGGAGCCGTTGAAAGGATCTTGGATCTATGCACCTCTGTTGGATTTGGCGAGAAACGTGAACCCATGACCCCTGAAATGAAGGAGCAAGTGCTCGACCAGATGGGATTCCTTGCCGAACAGGGACTACGAGTTCTAGCGATTGCTCAGAAACCCGGCCCTAAAAGCCTCGACAAGAATACCGAAATTCCAAGAGATCAAGTTGAATGTGATCTTACATTGTTGGGATTAGCCGGTTTATATGATCCTCCGAGATTGGAGACCAAGGATGCTGTCAAAGGTATGTGCCGACCGTCTTACTCTTGTGATCGCACACAGGCTTCAATATGCTAACCACTTTCTAAAATATAGAATGTACCATGGCCGGAATTCGTGTCCATATGTTGACTGGTGACCACCCTTCCACCGCAACCGCCATAGCAAAGGAAGTAGGAATCATTCCACGCAACACTGGCACCTTATCTGCAGCAGAATCGGCATCTTTGGTCAAAACTGCCGCTGAGTTCGACGGAATGACCGACCAAGAGATTGACGCCCTGCCTTCCCTACCACTTGTGATTGCCCGATGTGCCCCTGACACAAAGACTCGAATGATTGCTGCGCTCCACCGCCGCGGCAGATACTGCGCCATGACAGGAGACGGAGTCAACGATGCACCCTCCCTTCAGGCTGCGGATGTTGGAATTGCCATGGGTATGGGAGGCTCAGATGTTGCAAAATCGGCATCTGACATTGTGCTTACCGATGACAACTTTGCTAGTATTGTCAATGCCATCGAGGAAGGACGACGCATGTTTGAAAATATCCAAAAGTTCATTCTGCATCTTCTAACGTCGAACATTGGTGAGGTAGTTCTTCTAATTATGGGCCTTGGATTCAAGGATCAAAAGGGATTTTCTGTCTTCCCACTTTCACCACTGCAAATCCTATGGATCAATATGTTGACCTCCTCGTTCCCTGCCTTCGGACTAGGCCGTGAAAAGGTTTCCGCCGCAGTCATGCATCGTCCTCCACATGATACCAAGAAGGGTGTATTTACCTGGCAGATTGTAGTTGATATGATGGTCTACGGCATCATCATGGGAGCTTGTACATTGCTTACCTTCGTGATAGTGGTCTACGGCGTCGGAAACGGCATGGAAGATCTGGGAATTGATTGTAACCATGCCGCCAGCGATAGTTGCAATGTTGTTTTCCGTGCCAGAGCAGTGGTTTTCGCTGAGCTGACTTGGCTTATTCTCATCTCAGCATGGGAATTCAAGCACCTTCGTAACAGCATGTTCAACCTTGAACCATACCGTGACCACAGCGACGACACTGTTCCTTTCTTCCCCTTCTTCCACGATATTTGGGAGAATCAATTTCTCTTCTGGGCTGTTGTTATCGGAGCTCTCTCGGTTTTCCCAGCTGTCTACATCCCGGGACTGAACACCAAGGTTTTCAAACACCAAGGTATCACTTGGGAATGGGGCCTTGCTTTTGGATCAGTGGTGATATTTGTTCTTGGTATTGAGGCCTGGAAGTTTGTCAAACGACGCACTGGATGGTTTGCAGAGGGCGAAGATTATGGTGGTGTCGCAGCCACCGGCTTCCGCAGAAGATGGCCAAGCCACGAACTTGGTCTTCGTCAAGGCTTCTTCACCTTTGCCAAATCTCTTACCAAGGGCAGTGAAAGGAGTATTCCTGTGGGTCCAGAAAGTGGAAGGTCAAGTGTTATGGGCAGAGATAATCACCGTCGCCTTGATGATGGCGGAAGAGCGAAGGAAACAGTTTGAGTTTGGCAGCTTTTCTTTTGTTACAAAAAGAATTTAACTCGTATAACTACAAGGGAGGCCTGGTGATTCAGGAAGAAAGACTGGGTGGTATAGATATGATGAAGATATGATTTGTGGCCCTATCTGACGATATATCAAATGTGAGTAATGATCAATGAGCAAAGCAAGGGAAAAAGGCCGAGTTGAGCTTTGCCTGAATATATAGTTATGAGTTAATATTCCTCCGAGTTCGATTTTTATCAAGACTTTTATCTTCGATTTCCGACTGCTTAAACGTCCGCTGAGTTTATATCGTCTGTAATGTTATATATGTTGAAATTATTAATAAGAAGAGTATCATAATTATAGTGACTAGATTATTACACAGCACAGGAGCGAAATGTCCAATATATGTTGGAATATGTGCCGTCCAGGCAGAGGTATAGTACATCGTTTTCAGGGGGAGCCACAGTTGGAAATATTGACATCAATAGGAGAGAATCTTTGCTTTTGCTTCTACTGTCCATGCCGAACTAATTCGTGGATTCCGGCTTTTTGGTGTATATTCTCTAGCCCAATTGATCACGCGGGATAAATAGGATCCTGATAGCAGCGATTTCCGTATTCCCCGCATAGATGCGATTATACCAAAGGTCGAAGTCCCAGTCAATCCATTCTGAGATCGCAAGGCAAACATCACCTACCTCACGCTTCATCCATCGAGCCACAGGGATTTCACACCATTCAGGGCCATCATGAAGCAAATAGCATACCCCAAAGTCCACTAGAACAATTGGTCGAGTACGCTGAGCACATCTAGAGTTGCAGTTGATTATAATATCATCATGACGGTAGAAACCACCCTTAAATCCATGTTTATACATCGTAAGCTCGGTATCTATTATGATCTTCAAAAGTCTTTGACGTTCCTGCTGAGAAAAGTCTCCGGCCCCATGTGATTTTATTGACCGTCCAGGAATATATTCTAGGAGAATCAACCGAACAAGACGATTCGTATCATGGCCGGGAACAGGTAATTCCAGGGTGAATGACCCGTAGAACTTGGGTATGCATTTTCCCTGCAGGGGCTCCAATTGTTTATACACTGCAACTTCATGCGAGTAATCGTAATCACAGCAGTAAAATCTGTCGTATATGTATGAATCATGGTCGTTGTAAAGAGGATCGTAGAATTTTGCAAATAGAGTCATATTTTTTTGTGGCCCTTTGTTCTTGGTTGGTTGAACATTCAAGATATCGACAAGCCCTACCTGTGACTTCCGATTATCTCGAAATCGAATTTCCCTGGATATTTTCAAATGGACGATCTGATTTCCAACGTGACCCGGAGATGGAGGATGTAACAGACAGCGTTCAGCAGGATGTTTCTGTTGTCTCTCAAAGCGCTTACTGAGCTCAATAACAGGGAGGCCATCAGGTGGAGCTGGAATCGGAGGTGGAGCAGTATGAGAGCGAACAGTAAACTCTTGTCCCGAAAAGTAAGGTAATGCAGGTTTACTGACTCGATTAAGAGTACAATAACTGTCCCTTAATTGAGAACAAAGGATTCCAGGGCTCACCACAACTACGTCTTCGTCCATCTTATAACCCGCCAAAATCCCGTGGCACTTTGTTCGGAGATAATATCAAAAAAAAAGACTGAGCCAAAAGAGTGAGCCAACACTAGTAGCTAGCAGATTGAAGCCGTATATTTAACGAATAACTTCAACCTGGATCACCGATGATCGGTGGCGTTTTTGGAGATGTTGGACGTGGCGTCGGGTGCTGACCAATAAAAGCTCACTCAATCCCTTATTCGAAAGTGACGTCAAATCCAGCCTATTATAATCGAGTAACTTCTGCTTATATAATTATTTAAAGTTAATTTTGGGCTAAACGCGGCAACGCCAAATTTGTGGACCTTCGGAGAGCCGCATTAGACGCCATAAGCGCATTTAGTCTCAACTCCCCATAGCCGTTTTCATAGTTGAAATTAGGCGGAGAATCCTTAGCTGAGGTGGAATCATATTTTCGCAGTTTATTCGTATTTGGATATAGTGGCAGCAAGGATCCGAAGTGGAATATGTTACCTCCCAAAGCAATTGGGTGTAGATGTGTTTCGGTCACAGACATCAAACTAGCAAGGCCATACGGAAGAGAATGAAAGACTCTCTTTCGATCCACCAGGGTGGTGAGACCATTGAAGTGGTAACTACAGAAGGGGTAGCTACATGTATGACAGAAATTATCTTTGCCTCTTTCAATTCATGACTTATTCTAATCTATATCCTTCTTTACCCCCTTCACATTCGTTTGTTGAGCTCTACACCGCTTGTGCACATACTGGAGTCTGCTGCAACCACGTCTCTCAATCATCGGGTATTAGTGCATGTTTGTATTTAAAAGGGAGCCTACATCAATGAAGCTATCACCCGACTCTTTGAACCCTACATGTCTGTGTTTGCTCTAGGAAAGCAGGTTGCATTGAAAGTAAAGCAGGAAGTAGATACCCGTCTCTATTCACCACTGTAGACCATTCACACTACACCGAAATATGAAACATTCACCAGTATGATTCACTGCCATAGGTCTATTTAAGAGGCAAACTCGCCTACTGCTTAATCCTGAAACTGGATATCAGTTCCAATTCCATGCTCACCCAACACACACTCTCTCCATATTGACTAAAAGCTTACTTTCCTCGCAACACTTGAACAAAAATGCCGGCAAGAACATTGAAGCAAACTTTTTATGAAAACCTCACGGTTTACCCCGAAGCCAGGGTACCTAACAACTATCGCTCACTTGGGAAAGAAGCCGACGAACAGGTTAAATGTATAATCGTGATTCCAGATCCATTGATAACGCTGGCCCATAGTTACCTATCTCGCATCACAGCCTCTCCTGCAACAGCGCTCAACTCCCTAGCACTCCCAATTGACGATACAATCAACTTTCAGACGGAAGCCGACGTGCTCAGGGCAAGCTGCCTTGAGCTATTATACCCAGTCAACAAGGCCCTTACAGAGGGTCTCGGAAAGGGCGAGCGGGTATTTTGTGGGGGAGAGCGCACGATGGAAGGCAGCCGCGTTGACCTGAGATGGTCATACCAAGCAAATGAGAACGCCGAATCACACGTCTTTGCGGTTCTGGAATTCAAAAATACCAGAACTATTCACCCAAGTGACTTTCGGCCTGCAAATTCGGAGGGTGATGAAATCAAGCGTAAATTGTATACGCAGATGAGACACAATGCAACAAATATAATGGAACAAATCATGAAGTATCTCAGAGATTCGAAGGCTCCGTTCCTGGCCGTGTTCGACTGGAACACTATGGGAATCTTCGACTTCACGGAGTATAGACCTCAATCCCGGACACCTGGCAATCCAACCTTTACCTCAATGAGAGAGACCAAATTTGGGCCCCATGTCCATGAAACGCATCGATTCCTGCTGCTGGGATTTCTGGTGAGAGCCCTAGAGTGGCAGAGGGCGCGGTAGCTGCTAAACTGGCATTGGCAGGATCAGCAGAAGTCAGAAATTGCGGTTCCTTTTTCTTTCCTTTGTATTTTCCTTTGTTCCTCTCTCTCTCTCTCGTTTTCTAGCTTGTTTTAGACTGTTTTGTTGCTTCTTGAGATTGAATGACATGCTGGGTAGTTGGCCGGCAAGGAGGTTGATAGAAATAGAACTCATTTACTAGAGATTAAACTCGTTAACTAGTTAGTTCGTCCTCCATGTTTGCACTGTTTGCATCCTAGCAAGAAATCCAAGTTGAGAATATCGAAACATCCAAGATAAATAAATAACCAGCTACAACTAGCTGACTGTCTCCCAACCCTCCTGTTAAGTTAAACGAGAGACGAGACGGCGGTCCTAGAGCTCTGCTGGCCGATCTGATACCATTGTCTGCCAATCAACTGGTTAGTTACATCCGATGCAACAGCTATAACCGGCCGACTCCAACACACAACTGCCCACAGCAGCACCAGCGGCATCACACGTCGACGCAGCGTGTACAGCCCAGCATGGCTCAATGCAGACCATACGGCTGTCTGCGACGATGCATGTCTCTATCTGACGCTCTCCCGCCTCGCACGAGCCCCAATGGCTTGCTCCCAGCCATACACAGCCAACGACGGAAACACTCAACTACACCTCCTCCTCCTCCTCCACCACCGCACTCTTCTTCTTCTTCCTCCTCCTCCTCCTCGGTATCTTCAGCGGAAATGACACATTTCGCGAGTCTGGCGAGTACATGGTGGGACCCGCTTGGTCCTTCACGCATATTACATCTGATGAACCCGCTGCGACATGACTTCATCGCCTCGTGCGTTGGCCAGCAGCAGCGGCAGCAACAACAACAGCAGCAGCAACAAGCCCATGACCAGGACCAGGACCAGAAGGGCGGCGGCGGACTACGTTATTTAGACGTTGGTTGTGGAGGAGGGATATTCGCCGAGTCCCTTGCCAGGACGATACGCACGCCCGGAACAAGTACCAACGCATGCTCTCTTCTCGCTATCGATCCGTCACCGGTAATGATTGAACTAGCCCTCTCACACGCCAGGAAGGATCCAACGCTGCACCAACATCTTCGCACCGGCGCATTCGAGTACCGCAATACCTCGCTGGAGGACCTCACGGATTCGGCTTCGGCTTCGACGGCGGGGAAATTCGATGTAGTTACGCTGTTCGAGGTGCTGGAGCATGTTGATCCGGACCACTCGTCGCCGCGGGCGTTTGTGCAGCGGTGTCTTGATCTGGTGGCGCCGGGAGGGTGGCTTGTTGGCTCGACGATTGCGCGAACGATGCCTGCGTATGTGGTCAATCAGGTCATTGCCGAAGCGCCCTGGCCGATCGGGGTGGTGCCGCGGGGCACGCATGAATGGAGCAAGTTTGTGAATCCCGAGGAGCTGAGAGGGTGGGTGGAAAGGGAGGGTGAGGGTGAGGGTGTTGAGTGGAGGTGTGTAGGGGCGATGTATGCGCCTGGGCTGGGATGGCGGATGGTTCCTGGGGCGGAGTCGTGGGGGAATTATTTCTGGGGGATCCGGCGGGGAGGTAAGCAGGATTAATTTAAGATAATGCTTGTATGCATGCAGGATGTATAGTAGATGTATTATTAGTTGGGAAGTTGGTAGCTGAGCTTGGATGGATTGTAGAGGATCTTCATTAACTATAATATATAAATAAAGGACTAGATGATAGAGAGGTGCGCAAACGAAGCAGACAGCCGACTGAAAAAGGAACATACAATGTAGCAGTATCAAGAGTAACGGTTAAAATGTAAGTTAAACGACGATGCCACTGCTCCAGCTCCGGCTCCTGCTTAACGTAATGTGATAATGCCGATATGAGAAAAGCAGCTGAAAAAACCTCGTAGATGGGAAAAATGGACGGATGTAAGATGAGAGCCGTTGGACAGATAGGAAAGACATCAACACACAAGACACAGAGAGGTAAGGAAATTAAGGAAATATAAAATAGATGGGAAATAGATAAGACATAGGAAAGAAAGGAAATATGAGAAACAGGAAAAATAGTAGGAAATAGGAATAGATGGTAGGAGATGGGGGGGATGCTATTATGAGGATTTTTTTAGTGGTAGGGGAAGGGGGGAAGGGGGAATGCGCTCAGTGAAGAGCAGAGGGTATCTCTATAGGCCGGGGGGATTGACATAGGGAATTAAGATAAGGAAATAAGAGAAAAAAGTCTGCTAATAATACTGTCACGGAAACAAGGGTTGAATTCGCTTCGACTGTTTTTGACGTCGTTGCGGAGGGGCGGGTGTTAGAGCTCGAGCTTCGGTTTCAGCTCGTAGTTCTCTGGCTCGGACGATTGAGGTCGTCGCGGGAAGAACATGTGCGGCGTTATGCTGCCGGGATATTGATGGTTTGAGGGTTCAGGGTAAGGATATTCCGGGGCAGAGGCAGAGCTGGGAGAAGGCATGCTGCTTAGAGTCGGGGACGCCCAGCCGACAGAGGACAGATGAGGGCTGCCGGCGACGCTGTTTGGTCTGGGGTCGCTGTTTGCAGGCGGTTCGAGGGGTTGTGGGGGAGCGTAGCCTGACGGGTGCGAGGTGAGGGACGGTCTGTTGTGGTTGTGGTGGTGGTGGAAGGAGGCGGGACCGGAGAGGCTGGTGAGGGTTGGCGAAGGGGAAGTGGGCGAGGCGCGAGGACTGGAGTTTGCAAAGTCCGTTCTGAGATGGGGCGGGAGAGAGGTGTAGTAGTCTGCAGCACCACCGGCGGAAGTAGGGCCACCAGCCGCTGGTGGGCGGGAGGAGAGGTTTAGGGGCGGGAGCTCGTTGCCCGGGGAGAGAGAAGGGCGCTGGGCGGGCGAGGGAGTAGAGTGAGCGGAGCCCGGTTCAGAGTACTCTGAGGGTCTGCTGGTGGTGGAGCGGTCTTTGCTGTGACGGAGGTTTGCTTCTGTCTCAGCAGCGGCCTCTTCGATGGTGCCGGTGTGGTGGTTCTGGTGGCGGGTGAGGGTTGTGCGGCGAGTGAAGGTCTTTTGGCAGTTGGCGTAGGGACACTTGTATGGCCGCTTGCCGGAGTGGATTCTGCGGTGTCTGGCGAGCGAGGAGGAGTCGCTAAAGGGCTTGCCGCAGCGATCACACATGTGAGGCTTCTCGCCGGTGTGGACGCGGGTGTGGACGGTCAGGGCCGAGCGCTGGATGAACTGTTTACCGCAGCCGGGCCAGTCACACGCGTGCGGTCGAATCCCACTATGAATGCGCTCTATTGACATTAGTAACTTATATATAAAAGATATAAGAGAGTAGGTGGGTAAGTCTTACCATGCCTGGCGAGGTCGCTTCTCCTGGCGAATCCCTTGCTGCAGGTCTGGCAGTGAAAGGTCTTGAGGGCGGGCAGGCCAGTCGGTCTCATGCTGGTGGTACTCCTGCCGTAGTCTGAGCCATGCGCGCTGTGAGCGTAGCCCGGAGAGGTGCTGGCGTGGTTAGCCTGGGCCTGGACGTGGTACTGGGCGAGGTGGGCCATCTGCGGCAGCGACTGGGTGGACGAGGGGAAGCTGGAGGTCGGCTGGTGGTGGTGGTGATGGTGGTGGTGTTCGCTGGGGGGCGCAGAGGCAGAGCGGTGGTGCTCTGAGGCGCCGAGCTCCGAGGGCGACCTGGACTTTACGGCATCGTCTGTCTGCGACTGGGCGGTGGCCTGGGCGAGGTGCTGCTGGAGCTGGTGGACGTCTGCGGCGACGATGGAGACGGAGGCCTTTTTGTTTAATATAGTGGTTATATCCATGATGTGGCCACTACCCAGGGGTAGAAGTCGGTCGAGAGGCGTAGGCTCCCGGATCATATACTACCAGCAGTCAGTCAACGATATCTTCAAATAGATATTATAATGCAAAGAGAGAATGGTGTACCTTGATATGGTTGGACAATGTCTTGTTGGAGCGGCCAGATGCAGAGCCCTAGACACAAGCGATGGCAGTCGATGCTATTCCTGTCTCTGGCAAGGTCTGACGGTAGCGGATGCAGTGCAATGCCGCGAGCACGAGTCAGGCAGCGTCCTTATTTCCTGCTGGCAGCGGACGACGGCTGGCTGCGTCCAGAGGCGTCAAGGTCAAGGGGTCGCCCGGCCGACTGCAGGCAGAGAGATGTGTTGATGCAGTGTAAATAAGTAATGAGTAACAAGGTGAAGTCGAATAAGAGAGATCCGCCCGTCTAGCCTCTATCCTCGTGAGTCGTGGGTCGTCAATGCAGCCGGAGCCAGTCTATATAAGAGTGTACAAGAGCGTATAAGAGTGTATAAGAGTGTATATGGAGTGATTATAAGAGCGGTCGTGATGGTCGTGGTCGTGTCTTCGTGTGGGCGGTTTTTTTGTTTAGTGGGGAGGAAGAAGCCGAAGTCGGTGGCGAGAGACTAGAGGCGTCAGTAAGCAACAGTGAGTAGACAGGCAGAGACGCAGAAGCAGTGATAGATCTTGTATTGTGAAGTTGTAGCTGTAGTTGTAGTTGTAGCTGTAGTTGTAGCTGTAGTTGCTGGTGATGGTGATGGTGATGCTGGTGGTGATGTTATTCTGGTGATGCTGAGGTCGAGTCCAACGTCACAGCAGCAACAGCAACAGCAACAGTGACAGTAACAAGAGTAACAAGAGTAACAACAGAGTAGAGACGGCGCAGTCTGTCTGTCTCCGCCGTCCAGCAGTGAAGAGAAGAAGCAGAGCAGGAAGAAGAGAAATAGCCAGAGACGCCGCGAAAGACGGTGAGACCGCGCAGAGAATAACAACCGCAGGAATAACAATAACAATAACAATAACAATAATAGGAAAAGAAGGAGACTAACCAGGAGATAGAAGAACCTCGCCGTCGAGAGAGAGAGAGGGAGAGAGACTGACTGAGTCCTTGAAGGTGAAGTCGAAGTCGAGGTTGAAGTTGAAGTTGAGAAAGAAAAGAAAAGCGACGCAGAGACGAGGATGCTTAATAAAAGAGGCCGGCAGGGAAGAAGACGAAGATCAGCCAGCCAGGCAGGATGATAGAAGCCACGAAGAAGAAGAATCGAAGAAGAAGAATCGAAGACGAGGAAGAAGAAGACGAAGAAGAAGACGAAGAAGAAGACGAAGAAGAGATCAAGTTTGGGCCTTGGTTATCAGTGCTTTTTCTTCGTCTTTTTCTTTGCTTCTTCGGGCGTTGCTTTTTCCTCCTCGTCTTCGAGAGAGAAGAAGCAAAAGAGAGCCAAAGAAGAAGAAGAAGAAGAAGAAGAATTAAGCCCAGGCTAAGACCTTCGAGAAGACGAGAGAAGGCGATGAAACGCGGTGGATTGAGGGATCCTTGCTGTCACTAACTCACTAACTCACTAACTCACTACTAAGTCACTAAGGAATGATAAGGGGAAGAGTTCTTCTGGTCTTCTAGAAAAGAAAAAGGAGGAGGAAAAAGCAAGCTGAGGACGATGGTGATGGGGATGGGATGGTTGGGATGCGATGGAGATGCATGATGGAGATGATGCACGATGGAGAGAGGACGGTGCGATGGCCATGCCGTATTACTGACTTTGATCTACTGGACTGGGTAGAGGTACATAGGTACGGAGTAGATACTCGATGGTAGATGTAGATACTCGTAGACAGAGTACTTCTCTCTCTCTCTCTCTCTTTCCAGGCTGATACAGACTGATATCTGTATTATTATGTCTTATTCCTGGCCATCCAGTATCTTGTCCAAGTAGAGTGAGTCTTGTCTATCCCGCGTTTCAAGCCAACAGACCACCGGCAGCCACTGCACGCTTCTAGCGCTTCTAGGCTGGAAGTCTGTTCGCCATGGCATGGCATGGGCTCGCTGGTCAAGGGCCTCCAAGGGCCTCCAGGGCGCGGCAAGGATGGCATGAAACAGATGGTCCACCCTCCAACGCATGCATGATGCTTATTTCTTCGACTCTCCTCTCTTCTTCTCTTTCGTCTTCGAACAAGTCCTCTCTTCTCTCCGCCGACCTTCCTCTTCCATCGTATTAAAGTTGAAAGCAAAGCAGTAAAGTAAAAGAGAGTCTTCTCGCCACTAGTCGAGCCCGGTGGTGGTGGTGGCTAAGCCGTCTGAGATGCACCATTGTTTCACGGCCGGGCCAGCAGAGAAGCCCGTTTCATCGGAAGAAGCAAAGAGGCTGATCAAGCCGGGACTGGAGATGGCTGGAGTCAGTTGTTAGTTAGAAGGACTTAGCATCTGGTCAGAGTTACTGTCTGATATAGCCAGGGTCGACCTTACCAGCACTTGACCTTGACCTCATCTCACCATCCCAACACTCACTACCTTGCCTACCTTACTCTACCTTACCCTAACCCTGCCTCAGAGACATCGATATAGAGATGATATTATAGTCACACGTGGCTTGTTTCTAGAAGCCGACGAAGAAGCCAGCAGCTGAGGATCGACTGGCCACTAGCGACGCCATGAACCCTCGACCAGACGAGCATCAGGCGAGAGATTGACAGCGAGGACTAATGCCGGTGGCGCGTCCTAGTCTTTCCCTTCCCAGGCCCAGCGATTCTCTCTCTCTCTCTCTCTCCGAACGCTGGCGGGCCTCTATTCGTGGAGCAGCGGACGGGGGAGGTTGGCAGCAAAAGGAATTATGGGGATGTCCTGCGCTCAGACGAAGAAGACGGAGACGAAGAAGACGAAGAGGAAGAGACGATAGTTTCACTCTTTGCTTCTTCGATGGCTTTGACCCTGTGGCTGTTTCGTCTGACCGCAAGATCGTGGACGCTGGAGGACTGCTGCGAGTTAAGTTGGCCTTGGTGATGGTGATGGTCAGGTCGAGGGAGTCAAAAGACGGAGGCAAAGGCAGTGGTCGGGACAGGCGGAAGTCATAGCAGAGTCAGTGCGAGTAGAAGAGCGTAGAAGTGATAGAGTAGAGTGTTCGTAGAGTGGTGGTGGAAGTGGTGATAGTCGTGATGTTGGTGATAGTCATGGTGATGGTGATGGAGTCTCTCTCTCTCTACCTACGATGACCACTACGACTACGACCACGACTACGACGGCTACGACTATGACCATCACTGCTATCTACTTCGACTTCTACTACTATCCTGTATTAATCTCCAGTCACCTACTAGTCGATGCATCTCTTTGTTCCCTTAGGCATGCAGCTAGACGGCGAATCTGTTCTTCCAGCCCAGCCAAGCGCCTCGTCACCTCCAGGGCGTTTTTCTTCGCCAGCCAAAAAGGACAACCAGCGACGACCATCACCTCCCTCGAGCTATCGACTAGCACCGCATTCTAGCTCTCCTTTAGCCTGTTAATCTCTGCTCTTCTTGACTCTTCTAATAATCACTCTCAAGATGCTCTCGCGGATAGCTGGCCGGGCGGTCGTGGGCAGACGCCTGCTCGTCGCCGGCACGAGACAGTCCTCGACCTGGGGAGCTGTGCCCCAGGGGCCTCCAGTAGGTCGTCTCCAGCCTCAATGGCACTCACCAGACACTCAATTGAAGCAGAAAAGATGCTGACGGGTGTAGGACGCCATCCTGGGCATCACCGAGGCCTTCAAGGCCGACTCCTTCAAGGACAAGATCAACCTCGGCGTCGGTGCCTACCGTAGGTCCAACCTCCTACCTATACAACAGCTACAACAGCTACATCTACAAGATATATATTGACAGAATACAGGGGATGACAAGGGAAAGCCATACGTCCTGCCGTCCGTCAAGGCCGCCGAGTCCAAGGTCGTCTCCTCCAGCCTCGACAAGGAATACGCCGGCATCACCGGCATCCCGGCCTTCACTGCCTCTGCCGCCAAACTCGCCTACGGAGCCACCAGCCCGCTCATCGCCCAGGACCGCATCGCCATCACCCAGACCATCTCGGGCACGGGAGCCCTGCGCGTCGCCGCCGCCTTCCTGCAGCGCTTCTACCCTCACTCCAAGACCGTCCACATCCCCACGCCCAGCTGGGCCAACCACGCAGCCGTCTTCAAGGATGCAGGCCTCACCGTCGAAAAGTACAGATACTACGACCAGAACACCATCGGGCTCGACTTTGAGGGCCTGCTGCAGGACATGCAGAGTGCGGCGGACAAGAGTGTCTTCTTGCTGCATGCCTGTGCACATAACCCGACGGGCGTGGACCCGACGCAGGACCAGTGGCGCAAGATTGCGGAGGTGATGAAGCAGAAGGGCCATTTTGCTTTCTTCGACATGGCGTACCAAGGGTTTGCGAGTGGTGATATCCACCGTGATGCCTTTGCGTTGAGATATTTCGCCGAGCAGGACATGCCTTTGCTCTTGTGCCAGAGCTTTGCTAAGAACATGGTGAGACTTATATTACTACTGAATGAAAGTGTACAATATGCTAATGAGTGATAGGGCCTGTATGGTGAACGTGTAGGTGCGTTCTCGGTTGCTTGTGCGTCTCCCGAAGAGAAGAAGCGCGTCGACTCGCAGATCAAGATCCTCGTGCGGCCGCTGTACTCCAACCCGCCCGTCCACGGCGCCCGCATCGCCTCTGCCATCATGAACGACCCCCAGCTCAACGCCCAGTGGCTCGTCGAGCTCAAGGCCATGGCCGACCGCATCATCGAGATGCGCGCCCTGCTCAAGGAGAACCTCGAGAAGCTCGGCAGCAAGCACGACTGGAGCCACATCACCTCCCAGGTACTTACTTATATATTTATGTATCTATATCTATACCAGTGCTAACATCTCTAGATCGGCATGTTTGCGTACACCGGCCTCAAGCCAGACCAGATGGAGAAGCTTGCTAAAGAGGTCAGTCCTTCTTCTTCTTCTTCTACTTCTTCTTCTTCTTCTGCTAACATCCTCTAGCACTCCGTGTATGCTACCAAGGACGGCCGCATCTCTGTCGCCGGCATCACCTCCGACAACGTCAAGCGTCTGGCCGAGTGCATCTACAAGGTCACCGGCTAGACTCTTCTCTCCTTACCTTAGCCATTGACCCTGTATAACATGATAGAACTAGACTACTTCTTCTTCTTCCTCTACTCCTACTTCTACTCGCTGTAATATCATGTCTGATAATGCTGGGATCTGCCGTTCTTCACATGTCTGCAGCTTTCGTCTCATCTTCACCTCCAACTCCATCTTTGCTCTTAAACTGTCTGTCTCTGCCTTAGCCTGCCATCATCTCCATCTCCATCGCCATCGCCATCAACTACTATCAACCATCGTCTACCAACTATCTACTAGCTCGCCGCTGTCGTCATTCTGTAAGGCCTTCTTCGCTGCTTCTCCGCTGCCAAAGTAAAGAAAAACATTTTAACTTAACCTCGGAACCTGCAGCTTCTCGTCTTCTTCCCTTCGCCCGCCGCTCCTCTGGAACCGCCATCGCATCCGCGCCCGCAGGCTCTCAGCAAATCCGACCGACTCCAGCCTGGACGCCGAAGAAAGGGAGAGAAAAGAGAGACTCCATCGCACGCTTGCCCGGTCGCGCAGTGGAGAGCCGGCGTCTTCAGTTGCTCCGTCTCTGTCGCTCGTTCCAGCTTGCCTCCGACTCGCCCCAGACTCAACGGCCTCACCTCCTACACCTCCCTACACCCTTAAACTCCTCCAAAAGACAGTCAAAAACTCCTACAGACACTCGAATACTCCAAGGACACACCTACGATAGGATAATCATGGCTCAGGCGCTGCCCACGGCCATGGCGATGCAGGCAAAGCTCATGGCCCTCGCCCGCTCGTCCTCCAGCGCCGTCTTCTCCCTCTCCAACTTCGACATGCAAGTCCATCCCCATACCCCTATCCATCTCCTACCTCTACTTCACATTCTACTTCTACCCTACTAACAGCCTGTAGAGCCCGGAACATCGTCTTCTTCGTCTTCGTCCTGCGTCTGCTGCGCCGCTCGTTCTACACCCTCCGCGGCCATGGCATCTTCGGCACCCTGCGCAACTTCTACACCTACCTCCGCCTGGTCTTCTACTCGCTCTTCCTGCGCGCCCCGGGCGTCCGCTCCCAGGTCGACAGGCAGGTCAAGACTGCCCTGACCAAGCTCGAGCAGAAACTGGCGCCCCAGGAGCCGGGCATGGTCAAGTTCGTCAGTCTGCCCAAGAAGGGCATGAGCAACGACCAGGTCATGGCCGAGCTCGAGAAGCTCGGCGGCATGAAGCATACCATGTGGGAGGACGGCAAGGTCAGCGGCGCCGTCTACCATGGCGGAGACGAGCTGTTGAAGCTGCAGACCGAGGCCTTTGGCAGGTTTGCCGTTGCTAATCCCATCCATCCTGACGTCTTTCCGGGCGTCAGGAAGATGGAGGCTGAGGTCGTTGCCATCGTAAGTCAAGAAGCAATCAATCCCCCCCTTATATGATAATCAATGGATAAAAAAGTAAAGACGCTGACTTGACAGGTTTTGTCGCTGTTTCATGCGCCGGACGGATCTGCTGGTGTGACTACTAGCGGCGGAACGGAGTCCATCCTCATGGCCTGTCTGTCTGCTCGCCAAAAGGCCCTGGCCGAGCGTCGTGTCACCGAGCCCGAGATGTACGCTCCATTATCTTCTTCTTCTTCGTCTTCTTTTTCTTCTTATATATATTTGTACTAACAACTAATAGGATCATACCGGAAACCGCCCATGCGGCATTCACCAAGGCCTGCAAGTACTTCGGCATCAAGCCGCACTACGTCGCCTGCCCGGCCCCAGACTACATCGTGGACGTCTCTGCCGTCCGCCGGCTCATCAATCCCAACACCGTGCTGCTGGTCGGATCGGCCCCCAACTTCCCCCATGGCCTGGTCGACGACATCCCGGCCCTCTCGCGGCTGGCCGTCACCTACAAGATCCCCCTGCACATCGACTGCTGTCTGGGCTCCTTCGCCATCGCCTTCCTCAAAAAGGCCGGCTTCCCGTCCCCTTACGAGGACCAGGGCGGCTTCGACTTCCGCCAGCCGGGTGTCACCAGCATCAGCGTCGATACCCACAAGTACGGCTTTGCCCCCAAGGGCAGCTCCGTCGTGCTCTACCGCCACCGCTCGCTGCGTACATACCAGTACTTCGTCATGCCCAACTGGCCCGGCGGCGTCTACGCCTCCCCTTCCATGGCCGGCTCTCGTCCCGGCGCCCTGATCGCAGGCTGCTGGGCCAGCATGATGGCCGTCGGCGAGTCCGGCTACATCGACAGCTGCCACCAGATCGTCAACGCAGCACGCAAGTTCGAACGGGCTGTCCGTCAGAACCCCAGTCTGCGCTCTACCCTCGAGATCGTCGGTAAGCCCATGGTAAGTGTCGTTGGATTCGCCTCGTCCACTCCCGAAGTAGACATCTACGATGTTGCGGATGCCATGACCAATATGGGCTGGCACTTGAATGCCCTCCAGTCCCCGCCTGCAATGCACGTTGCGTTTACCTTGCCCACCGCCAACGCCGTGGACCAGCTGATTGACGATCTGACCACTGTGGTGCGCGAGGAGGTGCTCAAGGCCGAACAACGACGGGCCGCGGGAGTCAAGGTCGAGAAGAAGCGCGGCGATACCTCTGCCTTGTACGGTGTTGCAGGCAGCATTCCGGACAAGAGCATTGTTCGTCGTCTCGCAGAGGGCTTCCTCGATACTCTTTACCTCAACTAACCTGGCATTACGGACATCACTCTGAACACCATCCACTGTCTTGGATGAACGGACCTATAAACCAAAAAACTTGTATATTCCTCGGGCTGTCGGTGTATATTGTTATCGTTATTGATATTGCTATTTCTACTCTGCACAACTGTACATTCAAAACACGCACCTAAGAACCAACGCACTCTTCATAAAGAAGTATCAATACATCTATCTATAATACATGACTTTTTCCTCAGCTTCAGTCCAGTCCAGTCCAGTCCAGTCCAGTTCAGTCCAGTGTAGTGTAATGTAATGTAGTTCATGCCTCCCTCTTCTCGCGCCATACTTCCTCCGCCCTTCTCTCAACATAGTATCCTGGATCTGGCTTGCGTTGTAACCGAAGCTGCTCCCGACTCAGCGGCTTATCTACCTCCGTCACGGCAACGAGTTCCTTGACTTTCATGATCTGGCCCGCCACGTCTCTGCTGACGGGGTAGAAGACGGTAGCCATGCGCTTCTTGAGGCCCAGGGCATGCAGCACGCCTGTTGTTTTGCGCGGTAGGCCTATAGCGGACCGCAGAAGGGTGATGCGGAAGTAGGACATGTCGTCGAGTAAAACTCTTGTATATTCGACGTAGGAGGACTGCTAGAGCAGAAACTGGTAGAAATGGTAGAATGGTGTGATGTGATGTGCTGTGTTGTGTGCTGTGTGTGTTGCTTGCAAGGATAGTTTCGCCCTCGTCTCGTCTTTGTCTCGGTTTAAGTGCTGATATCAAAACGTGCTGGGAGCCCTTTCTCCGTCCGTCCTGGGGGGCGTTTTCTTTTCTCCTCTCTTTTCGATCCTGATGGTGACCGATTGATCCTCGTCAAGCTGTCGGCTGCCAGCTGTTCGTCGTTGATTTTGATTGCTGTATCAAAAGAGCGCGGGTTGATATTCCAGCTCCAGCTCCAACTCCAGCCTCAGCGTCTTATTGAATCCCGACTTTTGCTCGTCGATCGATCGATCTCGCGTCCCGTCCTGGGCCAGGCGTATGAAACAGTCCGTCAGTCCAATCTGCGTCCTGCTCGTCGTCGTCTTCTCTCTCTTTCGTGGTTGTTCGTTGCTCTCGCCCTCGACTCGATCGACCGGCCCAAGCAAGCACGATAACTAGTTAAACCACCACGCTCTCGACTGTCCGGCTGTCCGGCTGTCCGACGATCCCAACTGTCTAACTGCCTGTCTGCCTATCGTCTGTCAAAAGTGCAATTGATCTCAGCAATTCGAGTGAAGCCCAGTCAGTCCTTGAGATCCATCCATTCCGTCCAGTCCGTCCCGTCGTCTGAGAAAATTACGACGGATCATCGATTGTCCGCCGCAACGCCCTTTATTGCTTTTTCCTTCGAGACGGAGGGCCAACGATGAACGAGCGTCGCAAAGTCCGGCTCAGCCTCTTGCCAGGGTCGACTCCGTCTGTGGCGCAAAGACGAGCTGCTTTTGAACAGAAGAAGGACGCTGGCGCGGGCGCGGGAGCTGCTGCTGAGAGGCCGCAGATACGCCGCACCAGGTCGAGTCGCATACGCAGACGGCACGAAGAGCTTCAGGGGATCGCGGAACAGCCGCTGCAGGAAGCCAAAGGTGGGATACAGACACAGACACAGATACAGGAGACAGAGGTCGAGGTCGAGGTCGAGGTTGAAATCGAGTTACCTGCGTCTGGCAGTGCTGATACTGTTGAGAGCGATTCTCGTCTGGTCGACGCTGGCGCAGATATCAACATCGCCCGCCAACCACAACCACAGCCACCACTACAAGCACCACTACAGCAGCAACAACTACAACAACGACGGTACTCTAGATGGATAGCTGCTGCTCCTAGACGACCGTCGACGCTACGAACAGTGACTGTGCCCTCGCCGGAGCCGCCGCTACTCACGCCGCCCCTGACAAGCTCCAGCAGCGACTCGCTCTGCTTCGCTGCCCCGGTCCAGGCACCGGCATACCATGACAGTGAACCCCCATGCAAACCAGCCGCACAAGAACGACCCCAATTGATCCTACATACCCCTCCTACGTCCACGCGGACATCATCCTCTACTGCGTCACACTCAGACATGGCGGACGAAAACGGCTCGGACGGGAGCCTGGTGGTGCCCCGGCTAGAGGACCTGCTACGGCATCCCGAAGACCTGGAGAAGATATCGGTGCTCAAGGCAGAATATACCAGAAAGAAAGAAAACGTCGATTCACAGCTGCGGGAAGGGCTGCGGGACCAGCTCGAGCTCGTGCAGCGCAGCCTGGCTGACCTGGCCGAGGGCAGAAGGCAGATCATGGACGCAAAGATGGGGCCGCAGGGCATCGACAGGCTCTGGGCCGAGTCGCAGTCTGCTCTCGGCGACTTCGCTCAGATAGACAAGCTGGCCAAGATACAGCGCAATTTCGAAGCGGTGCTCTTCATGAAGAAGGGGCTCGAGACGTTTCATGCTGACGTGGCCGAGGTAGAGCGCATGCTGCGCGAAGACGACATGGACATGGAGAACCAGCCCAACCTCCTGAACATACACATGGCCCTCTCGCGTCTGCGGGACTTCCGAGACGAGGCCATGGACCAGATACGCAGGGCCAAGGATAAGAGCAGTGAGGCCACCCTGACCGAGCTGTTTGAGGGGCTCGACCCGGCCATTGAGTGGTTCGACGACCACCTGGGCACCGCTTGCATGAATATCATCCCGCTCATCCAGGCTGATAACCGCAGCATGGTCGTCAGGCTCGCGGTCGTTATTGCGAATGAAGAGAAGAATGACGCCAAAGTCAGGGCCCTGCAGGATGCGCAGAAGGACCACGAGTATCTCGCCAGCAGGTTCAAGTCGATGAACATCGGGCCCAAGACTATCAGGGGCTACAAGGAGAACTTCCTCAAGAGCATCGAGCTGTACGCCCAGCCCAACTTTGAGGACTCGAAACAGCAGTTCCTAGATGACCCGGACAGACTGGAGAAGAGCTTCAAGTGGTTCTTCAACGACCTGTTTACCGTCCAGCAGGGGATGCAGAACCTGGTGCCGAAGAAGTGGAAGATCTTCAAGACATACACCGACATATACCACCGCATGATGCACGACTGGCTCATCGAGTTCGTAGATGACCCCCAGATGCCCGCTGCCAACATGCTGGCCATCATCAACTGGTCGGAAAAGTACTATAAGAAGATGAAGAAACTCGGATGGGAGGCATCGGACCTCGTCCCCAACGTTCTCGATGACCGCGAAGGCGAACTCGTACAAGACTGGCGTAACCTCATCGTCAAGGCCCTGGATGAATGGATGGACCGCATGTTCAACACCGACAAACGGGCTTTCCTCGACCGTGACATGGACTCTCTCGACACCAACCCGGACGGGTTCTTCCGCACCAAGACTCTCGGAGACATGTGGCGCATGCTTCACGAACAGCTTCAGGCTGCCGGTGCCTCCCAGCGTACAGACGTCGCTGAGGGCGTGGTAGATGCCATGTTCCGCTCCCTCAAGACCCGCCAGTCAATGTGGCAGACCATGCTCGACGAAGAATGCGCAAAGTACAAAACACCCACCATCGACCAGCCCGAGAGTCTCCAACAGTTCCAGGACTGGCTCATCGCCGTTGCCAACGACCAGATCGCTTGTATTGACGACAACGACGCCTCGGGCCAGCTAGGCCACTTGACCCGTTTCAACCGTGACTTCGAACCGCTCGTGACAGACAAATACCTAACTGCCCAAGCAGCCAACGAAGTCGCTACAATACGAGACGGATACGTCGATCTAGGCACGCACTGCATATCCGTCTTCATCGACCTGATTTTCTCCGTCGACTTCCGCACCACACTACCTGAATTCTTCACCCAGAAATGGTACGGCGAGTTCGCTATGAAGCGCATGATCTCTACTTTTGAAGACTACATAAGCGATTACCATGCCGTCCTCCACCCGTCTCTACGTGATATCCTCGTAGAAGAAATCTCCGACGAGCTACTGGTCCACTACCTCTCTTGCGTGCGCAACAAGGGCGCCAAATTCCGCCGTCAAGACCCGTACACTGAAAAGTTCAAAGACGACATCCTGACTGTCTTTGGCTTTTTCCAGAAATTCCCGGACTCCTTTGGCGGAGGCATCAAGGACCGATGGAGACTTGTCGATTGGCTTGTTCGGTTGCTTGAGGCAGACAAGGCTGGCGTTGTTGTGGTTTACGAAGGGTTCAAAACCGAGTACTGGGATCTGCAGCTCTCCTGGGTTGAAGCTGTGTTACGATGCAGAGACGACTTTGAGAGATCCATGGTCAGCGCCATCAAGGCGAAGGCTGCTGAGCTCTCGGTTGAAATGGGTCCCGATACACTCATGGGAAGAGTCAGATAGAGCCACATACATGCCTTTCGGGTGACGTGACTTGGAGATGATATTTGAATATATCTGGCACAAATTTATTTTTGGCTATATGTTATGCTTTACTTTAATCTGTCTATTTAACTACTTATATCAGGTCTTCGCCATCGCTGCTTTCAGTGATGGTCGAAGTACCCGGCGTTTGCTTGATGGGACTGCATTCGTGGAGTTACCGTGTTCAAAAGGGCCAACAGTGTGAATTAGAACATACACTATGTGGATATGCGGGATGGAGATGGGTCTCAATAAAAAATAATATCCGTTTATTTCTATCAAAGAGCCAGTAAAATTTGTGAACATATCCTCTATTATCCATTATATAGGCCAAAGTGATCTTCAACCAAGCCGACGCTGATCGACTATTCTATATTCCTGTCCGAGTACTGGGCCACCCTTGGCCTCATCATGGGATACTGGCTTCGCGCCCATCTCGCAAATACATATTCTATCAATTGGAATCCCCTTAGCCCATATGAACGGCTCACGCTCAACTTCAGCCTCCATGCCCTTGACGTCCTTGGAACCGGCAGTGTGCTGTCTATGCCGACTTCCTGCAAACTTCTCTAGTAACTCAGTTGCATCAAATTTCACTAATGACTTGTCTTTACCCCTTGGACCTTTGCCGCCCTGTTGGGAGGCCGGCTTTCGTTTTCCAAGGTAAATGGTATTAGCGATGGTTGCATGAAGAAGCAATGGGCGCGGTTTGAATTCTGGGACAATTGGGTTCACAGCTGGTGTAGTCGATACACTGGCATCTTCCTCTTCCTCCTCCCCTTGGTCTCTGTTTTCATCCGAGCCCTCGTTGTTCTTGGAGCTTTCACCTGGAACCACCTTATTACGAGGTTTGGCTCTGACCATGTCACGATGCATGAATCCCGCTTCAATAAACCTATCCCGCAACTTCACGCAAAACGGATACAGCCGGCCTGAGGTATCCAATGGCGAAGCATGTAGAACAGTAGCTGCCCGGGTCCTTGGAATGGCATGCAGCGATACCAAGTCAATTGATAGGGGTCCCTTTGCATCACTCTCGGCTTTGGAATTTGCTTCTTCCTCCACCTCTTGCATTATAGAGTCCAGATCGAGCGAACGGAAAAAAGACAGCGTTTCATCCAGCCGTTCTTGACTGGTTAGACTCATAACCCCCAGCGTGAAATGCAGCGTTCCGAGCGGCCGCAGAGCTCCATACGGCACGAGTGGTGTGTCAGGAGCATGGCCTGCCGCTGGGCCAGAAGGAGGGACAAGTGGAATTAACGATTTGAATTCAGCCAGGGAGCTTTGAAGCTGGTATATCGACTGTTCGTTTATCAGGGGTATACAGAGAAAGTGCGTCAATGGCGGCTTGCTGCTGGCCCGATTATTATTCCCCTGGCCTCCGCCGCCCCGTCCGGGTCTTCTAGAGTTACCCATCCCGCCAGAGTAAGAGATCTGATATGCCCGAGTCCCCTGAGCGCGCGTGGTATGAGAGATTAGCTGCCGGATGTGGTGTTTTATCATTGAACTAGATGCTTGGTTCCAGATGCAAGAATGGCCTGACAATTAAGACGTATTATCCACATAGTCAAGCATGCTCGGCTCAGCTAGCCCAGGCTCAAGTGGATCTGCGCTGACTAGGAACTAAAGCTGCCTGTCAACGGTCCCTTGCTGGTTGTTGGAGCGTGAGACGCTGAAGTTGGTGTTGTTGGTTGTTGTTGGTTGTTGATCCGGGAGCATCGACGTCATCTTGCGCAACCTTTCTAGCTCCGTCTTTTCTCCACAGGCAAAAACAACGACGACCAGCCAAAGTCAACTTCTCACCAACAACAGCCCGTCGATTACTTTGCAGCACACGGAGAACCAATCGATACTATCGCTTGTAGAGGTACGAGTCTGTCACTGTCACAATGCTATACAAAGTCGGCAGCCGAGGAGCTCTTCGCTCGCTTCTCTCCTCGTCTCGTGCGCATCGCTCTCGCATCACAACCGCAGCAACTCGTACACAATCAAGGGCAATCCGTCTTACAGTCTCCCGGTCAATTCGACAGAGATCATTCTGCTCCTCGCCTGCTTCGTTCAAGGGAATCACACCGGGCTCCTCAGATCCTGCTCCGCCAAATCCTGAGCCCAACTACATCGGTGTCAAGCAAGTCACTGAAGCATCATACATATCAGAGCCGGAGTATCGTGACCGCTCTGAGGAATATATCAATGCTCTGATGGCAGAGATAGAGAGGACCCAGGAAGAGCAAGGGTCAGAGGTAGAAGCCGAGTACAGCGTATGTGAAGTTCATTTATCTGGCATGAAATATTTAACGGCTCCTTACTTACACAACGTTCGACATAGGCCGGAGTTCTCAATGTCGTCGTCCCTGGAATCGGTACCTACGTCCTCAATAAGCAGCCCCCGAACAAGCAGATATGGCTCAGCTCGCCCATATCTGGCCCCAAGCGGTTCGACTGGGTCGTTCAAGGCGACGAGATGACTGAGAAAGAAGGCACTCGGGATTACGTCGGTGGACAGTGGATATACCTTCGTGATGGGACAAACCTGACAGATATTTTGAACGCAGAGTTGAACCTGGAGTTGAGAGCAAAGATCCACGAATGAAAGAGTCGCCTGATACAAGGCTTCAGGATTTGTGATTGTCAGCTTCCGGCTAGACGTTGTCTTAATTGTGAAGATCAGATCACATTTGTACATGTATATGCTATTATTGCTTATGGCACATTGTGAATGTTACAACACTTTGTACGGCAAAGGCTCATGTCCCTCCTTCGCTTCTTCGGACTTCTTCCCTGCCTATATTCTGGCTTGCCTCGAGGCATGAGGTCTATATATTCCGAAAACCGTACAGCAGCTTTCCCACATAACTGTATACTGTATACTCCTGCCCGGGTAGGCCTAGTATCGGAGCTGGCTCTCTTCCTTCATACTCGTGGCATGGCTCGGTGTCTTTCACAAGTGGGATCGATATTGGTGGTATATCTCTCAACAACGAGGTCTTGTCTTCCCATCGTAAATTAGGAGTCTCGATCAAAGTAGTAACGGGTTGTTCGGTCGTATCCGTCTTCGACATTTAATCTTTCCCTTACACCATTACGCTGTGATGGCGGTAGCCACTCCGCCATTATTCCCACTGTCGTCCTTAGGTAGATCAGCCTGCACAGACACAAGTTAGTCTTGGGCCCCAGTTTGCGGCAAAAGCAGATATATCTCACCTCATCAAAGATGACCCTAATCATCAGACTACAGCTAGGACAGACACCGACGTCCTCTCCATCGCGCAGGTCTGCGAGGCCGATTTCAAACCTATCCCCGCATGGGCATGGGTAGTGGTATATTTGCAACACAGGATCGAAGGTCATGTCTTCGATTTCAATCTCATCATAGATAGAAACTGAGTCCGCCATGATATAGCCCCGTTTATAACCCCTGACAATATATTATAGAAGTCTGCGAAGATCGAAGTGTAATTCTTTAAGCATGACGAAGGCTTTTTTGTTCAGTCAAAATTTCTTGGTGGCGTTTTTGATAAGATTAACTTTATTATGTCATTGTCTATGGAATCGAGGGGATCACATGATTTGTCACAGAGTATATTGAGGTCATGTGAAATATGATTGATGGCTAATCAATTAAATTCCTATTAAGGTAATTTACAGCTTAATAATCATTTTCGTAATGTAATACAGACTAGTACTGAAATACATTAGATCAACCAATAAGATGGGGCCGTTTTGAGGTACCTGTGTTTGAATTACACATGTAACCAATTAGAAAAACGTCAAGGGCGTGACTCGAGATTTGATTGATAGCCGTAGTCAATTTTATCATAATCGTACATCACAAATGTCTTGGTACATCTTTTAGTGCATGGTTTTTGGCTTCACCTAGCCGATTTGCTCCCCTGGATATCAACAACAGCCAACACCCCAGAATTTAACGTGAAAAAGAGGACCAACAAGAAGAAATAAACAGAAAAGACAAGGAACAAAACTGATAAAGGGAAATATTAGGTACCAAGAGCAAACTAGACAAACCTAACGTCGAAACTCCGGGCAAAAGGGAAACGCAGCAAAGGAGGAAAGGAAGTAAGAAATAACAAAAAATTCCGTAAACACGTACAGACGAGAGAGAAGATAGGAGTACTTTCGGCGACCAGATGCAGTGAAATTCCATGTCCGAGTCCCTTCTTTGCGCTGAGTTGAAAAAGCAGAAGACGGTAGAAAGGGAGAAAGTGAGTTCAAAGTGACAGGAATGGAAATGAAGTCTAAATTGATTACGTGAACATTAGTTGCGATGGTTTGGTGAGATTGTTCGGGATAGGCAGGAAGATGGTATATCATGGAAGAAGGGGAGGGAACGTCGTTGGACATTGAATTGCTGGCTTGGTGTGGCAACCCGCGATTGATTGGCGTGAAGGTGGACCTTCTTATCCCTGCTGATAGATACACGATGCATGTATGTATTCCTGAGAGGAATAGGAAACCTCTGGGAGAGAAGAGATGAGGAGAGATATGAGTAGTGACATGGTCTCAACATCGTATTCTTGCCCACACAAAATGGAAAGAAAGAGTCGATGGAGTGAGAGCATGGCACGGCTGGCTTTGTAGAGAAAATAGCCAGCCGACAAAGCATAGTAATGACCTGTCTACTCTTCTTCGCTCTCTTCCGAGTCTTCGTCGTCACCGCTGCTTTCAGATTTGGGAGCTAAAGGGTAACGTAGTTAGCTTCAATATCGAGACTTGGCTGCTGAGTTCTATATTTGGTAAACAAACTTACCCTGTTCGTAAGAAGGTCCTCCCGTAGCCGCCACTGCAGCGCCAGCGCCGCCTTTGAACTTCGACAGGTTACTTTGCAAAGAACGAATTTGCTTTTCTTGCTCTGTCTTGTTCATTGGCTTGCTCTTCTTGGGTTTCGGCTGGGGCAAGGAAGGGAGAGGCTCCGGTTCACTTGGCTCCTCGTAGCCCTCCAGGATAGAAGGCGCAGCATGCTTCTTGACGAATTTGAGGAGGATCACAAGAACATGGTTTGGAAGTTCGTCGATGTCAAGTTCGATGTCATCCTCGCCAACTCCCTGCAAGAATACCGTTAATATGGGAAAAACTTGTATCAAGAAAACGGGATATAAAACGGGAGAAGCTTACCCGAAGAGAGGGTACGTGTTTCTGAATAATAGCCAATGCCTCCTGCATTCTATTCTCTGACAAGCTGCTGATTCCATTTGAGATCAAGGATTTCTCCTCGTAGGTGACCCAGCGGCCACCCTTCTCTCCCTTAACCTTTGAGCCGCCGCTCTTCTTATCCTTCTTGTCGGCCGTTCTGGCGGCACCTTTCTTCACATCTTTTTTACTCTTAGACTTGCCCAGCTTCTTCGAGGCAGGGGGGGTCTTTTTCTTCTTGGTGATTGCCTCAACCTGCTTTGACATTTCTGCAATTTGTTTCTGCAGCATGGTCAGTTTTTCCTGCTCATCGTCGGTCTCATTTTCTTCCTCCTCAGAAGATTCTTCGGAGGTTCCGGCTGACTGATGGCCCGAGGCAGGTTCATGATTGCGCAGCCAAGCATCCTTTGTAGACCATTTTGCATCGAAGGTCGCCTCGGTAGTCTTTCCAGCAGAGTACACGGGGTCACCAACGATGTTGAATTTATAGCAGTTCTTGAAAATCAGACGCATATCTGCCTCGAACTCCTTTGCGTTTTCGTATTGGCCCTCCGAAAGCTTCTTTTGCATTGTCTGCAAGTCCATCGGTTTCTTAATTACATTGTGATAGCTAGGGATGTTAAGGGCAACTGGGTCGACAGGGAAATAGAAAAACGAGGCGTGAGCGTAGTATTTGTGCTTGTGTAGTTCATTAAGAACCTCCTGACAGAATTTAAGTTCTTGCTGGAACTTCTTTTTCTTGGGCTTCATGGAGAAAGGAAGGTCTCGATTCTTAGGTGGGTGGATGGATCGCTTCGGTCTGCCATCAGTCGTAGTCGAGTCACGACGGATAAGGGGGAGACCTTCTGGACCAAGTGCAAAAGTCGGGGATCCAGCATTGCTGGCGCGTGGAGCCGCGGGGGCAGCAGCGGGGACAACAGCAGCTGGAGGAGCGGGAGCGGGAGCTGGAACAGGTGGCCGTGTCTCTCTTCGAGGTGGTTGTGTTTTAGTTGGCACACTTGCAGCCTTCTTGCTCTTCTTTTCGGCGGGAGTGATTTCAGGTGCATCGTGGTTAGGCAGCTTCTTGAGGTGTTTTTGAAAGTGCTCGTACAGACGATCACCTGCCAGTGAGACAACATGCGCAGGCCCATTGAATGTTTTTGAATTGTTAACCATGAGCTCGAAATCGTTTATGACGTCCTGGAGCGTTCGGTATTGTTCTGATTTTAGCTTGCCTTCCATAGTCTGCAGGTCCATGGGATGCTTGACAAAGTCATAGTACGTGGGTATGTTTAGCTTGACTATATCGACAGGAGCCTTGAACATCTGACCATCACTAATGCGCCTTAAGGACTGGATTGTGCGGATGAGAAATTTTACCTGAACCTTGGTCAGGTCCCGATGTAGGTCTGGAACGCCATTTGTAGTACCAGGGGCGGGAGTCACTGGAGTCGCAGGAGGAGCAGGCTCTCCAGAAGATGAAGGAGGAAGGGCAGAAGTTCCAGCCACTGGGTGATCAGAGCTAATGTCTTCGGTCTTTGTACGTTTTGCTGCCCGTTCGTCGTCATCATCTTCGCGTTCCCGAGAGACCTTTGTAGTGGCTACCTCTCCAGTAGATGACGGAGCTACTTCAGGCACATCTTCCATAACGTGGTCTTCCTTATCCTTTTCTCGGCTTTCAGGTCCTGCTGTAGGCGCTGTATGGTCCTCTGTCTTCAAAGGTTCAGCCTGTGATACTACGGGAGCAGGGGCGACACCCATGTCATGATCCATGTCCTGTTGTCCCTTCTCCTGCCCTTCTGGAGGAGCTGAGGTTGGCTCCGTGGCTGGAGCTGGTTCGGACACTGGGGCTTGCTCTGAAGATGGAGCTGGCTCAGGAGCTTCAGTTGATGAGAATAGAGGGTCGTTCTCATCATCTTGACCCATCGCTGTATCCGCGTTCGCTGTATCTTCCTTCTTAACATCTTCCTTTGACGCATCCATGTTGGCATCAGGGTCAGTGGGCTCTACCGCTGGACGGTTCTCCGGCTGTCCATTCACATCCTGGCTTCTGGTACCGTCGCCTAGATGTAAGGCCGCAGTCTCCGATTCCACGCCAGCGGTTTTATGGTTGGACGGCTGATCGACAGGGGATAGTAGATCAGCCTCTGAGGGCACGTGTGCTGCTGAGGAGTCTTGCTTTGACTCCACACCGTTTGATATGGATGAATGGCCGTTCAGCTGTGGCTGGGAACTCCCGTTTGCGGTGGGAGTTTCCGCTTGCTCAAAGTCTGACTTGGCCCTATCAGGCAAACCCTTTGAACTAGATTCACTGTAGCAGTCGTTAGCCAAATGATGGATCAAAAAAAAAGTATGAGCCCGATTCAACAGCAACATACATTGTGGTGTTTGAATCAGCCTGAGCTTCAGGCTGGGACTGTGAATCTAGCTGGAGAGGGTTGGAAATAGCTTCGGTGCCTTCATTCGGCGGCGTTCCCATACTTATAGATATCAAAGGGCCTCGGGTCGTGATATGACGCGTCTAACGTGCCGCTGGGAGCAAAGAATTGATATTGAGATGAGGGATCCTCTCGAAGATAGCCAGTGGCGCGTAGTGGATGAGAAATGACTATTGGTAAAGCAGGCATGAAGTAAGTCATGAGTTCAAGTCTTTTTTTTTTTTTTTTTTTTAGTAAAGTAGAAGCAAAAAAGAGAAAAAAAAAAACTCAGAAAATGAAGATAAAGGGGCGACAGAGGGTAAGAGAAAGTGAGAGAAACAAAAGGACAGAAGAGGTGAGAAAGCAGTGAGTTGGGTATCAATAAAACACTTCACTTAATTCAAAGCACACTGCGGTGAAGTATAGAAACAAGAACACACACAGAATAGAAGGAACACAGGTATTGTGGTAGGCTGTCCTGCTCAGTCATCTGTGAGGTTGAAGATAGCAAACAGCAGGGTATCAAGTAGAACACACAACGAGGGCCAGGCATATATACCCTTGGAATCAAGATATATACCTTTTCCTAACAAAGGGTAGAGGTATCGGTGGTAGTCACTTCTTGGGATATGCAGTGTCCAACGGCTTGAGGTGATGAATGAGGTCTGGATTGAGTTTAGGAGGCCGAGGAGAGTGGAAGAAGACAGGCCTTTATATAGACGCGAGTCCTGCCGATATCGTCACTGCTCCCAGCAGGCCTGCAAGCTTATTGGAGAAAGAACCGTGGTTGGCGCGAACTTAAGCGCGGGCGGCAACTGAAGGACAAGAAGAGAAAAAAGGATGCTTACGTTATCACTTAACCCGTGATGAGTCAGATACAGGCTTAGATAAGCAACGAAGCTTGCCTAAGATTAAGAAAGTTACTCTTTTCTAGAAAGAGAAAGGAAAGAGCAATGCCAGTGCGTGCGCGTAAGGAGCGGTGGTGTGGTGGGTGTAGTGCGGTGGGCGGTGTGTGACGTGTCAGTCGTGGGTGGGCCTGCTAGAGAGGTTGCGAGGCCAGGCTTTTATCGCGGTGCGTGGCAGCAAGGGTATGAAGGGGGCGGAACACGGGGGCGATGCGAGCAGAGCAGGAAGCGTGAAAAGAGTGAAGAAGGTCGGAAGAAGGAGGGGGGGGGTGCGAGGAATCCTTATAAGTACGGGCCTCGTTCGTGCTGCTGGGAAATCACCGCAGCCTCCTGCCGCTAGCCTCGGATGGCCGAACTAATGTGGGCGGTCCCTGAAGTGGAGATTTGCTCTCTCCTGATTGGCTACAGGATGACGCGTCGTGCTCTTATTGGATACTCTGGTCCCACTTCTGTCTGTTTTGGGACGTTCTACTTGAAAGGATGCCGTATGGTATTGTATCGACGCGCCCCCATTAGGCGTGTTTTGCGTGGTTGCCTGCGAACATTACGGTGTATCGCAATACGCCCTGTTTACCTCCTGCTTTTTTGCTTCCTTTCTTCCTGTCTCTGGTCTCTGTTGCTGCTGCGACGATGCGAAGTGGGAGGCGCTGGAGTCTCCCATACACGGCAATGCCCATCTCGACCAGTCCAGATGCATGTTTCTTGTCCTGCAGCATAGATCATAAATCTCATCTGCAGTGCTCTCTCGCCTTGGTCCTATATTTTCTTCTTTCCATGGCAGTCGCACACTCTATTGAATTTTTCCCGTAACATGTTTCGTCATAGGGGGTGGTTGGAGCCCCCTTATGTCAGATTTTTTTTTTGCCTGCATCACGTGAATCTTTTTGATATCACGTGAGGGTATTATGCCATCGGCTGTGCTTGTTGAAAGAGAAGCGACGGCAAGAATCACCGTAGAGAGAGCTAACAAATTGCTTTCTGGCCTGCGAAATTAATATGCCACAACGATCCCTTCCTGAGGTCTTAAGAGCAGGCACTATGAGCTGATTCCTGGGGCATTCCGGTAGGTGGATGGCTCAGCCATTCGCCGCATACCGTAGCATCTGAGAACCACATAAAGAGAGACGTTGATGGTATGATGGCAGATGGTATAACATAACCGACAAGCAGTATATCCGTGGTAGCCGGCATCTTTCTGAAGTCCAGAGATGCAGGATGAGCATCAGAAAGCAGAAGAGAAGAAGAGCTGAAGATTAGGCGCTGTCGGTCTTTTAACGCAGAGCACCATACCGGATAAAGTATGTTTTGCGGCACTACTATCTTCCGTAGCCCGACGGTGTTCGAATAGAGCTAATATATTCTAATCTAATTAGATATATTAAGTAAGTAATAATAGATATACTATTACTTCTTTTAGATAC